ATACTTCGAAATTTCTACAAAAACTTCTGCTTTAAGCTAGCTGTTTCGCTGAGTGTAGTCATGCGAGGGGAAATGTCGCCATGTTGGCGTCTTTTGAAACGGAAGCGTTATCCAAAAATACGAATAGAAATATACGAAAAGTCGTGTAGTCTAAACATACAAATAGCGTGTTGCGTGGCGGCAAAAGTGGCCCCTATCATTATAGCTGTCGTCTTGGCTCGAAGATTTTTTGACTGGTTTTTTTTCCTTCTCATTTTTTGAATTGGTCAGCAGCAGCAGCGACGGCGGATGCGCTTCCAGGGGCTAGGCAGCAGCTCGATAGCTCAGCAGCCAGCAGCCATGGCTCTTAGTGATTTCTAGGCCCAAAAAAGAAAAAAATGTTGCATGTAGCATTTTTCTTCTTTGTTTCTTTGTTTTTTTTTTTTTTTTTTGGGGAGAGGGTAACCCCACCGCCACTACCACAAAAAAATAAAATTGATTTACGACTTCCGTTGGTAATGAAAATTCACTTCAAGCACAAATATTTTTTTTTCTGTTTTTTTTTTCGTAAATATTTTTGAGCTACTTCATTTTGTTGGCAGCGCCGATTGGCAGCCAGCGTTTGGTTTTATAGACTCATTTAAGGCGATTATTTAGCAATTTTTTAACATTTGCCATACATACAAATTGCGAGAGGCGGGAGGGCGCGAGGGCGTGTAACTTGCAGTTTTCTGAACAGCTTCAAGCTTCCAATTTCCAGCATCAGCTCCAGCATCCAGAGCTCCAGTTAGTGGCGAAATTTATGAGGCAGCAAGTGAATCATTTAAGTTAATGACTTTCAAACGTGTTTCACAGCATACGACTTACTTTATATATATACACATATTGTTGATGCCTGATTGACTTGGCCAGAATCTGTAGAGTCGACGTCTGCAGCTGGCTGGCTGGCTAGCTGGCTGACTGACGCATTGGCCAAGACTAGTAGCGCGCCTTGATTGATAATCCGTTGATTGAATTATGAGCGCAACTCTAATTTGGCTAGACTATGTATGTGTGTGTTTGTGTGTGTATTTGTGTCTAGATCTAGGCGCTTACTAGTTGCCTAGTTGCCGCCTAAATGCAGGCCCAGGTCTCCACTCTTGTGCCCCTTTGGCGCTTTTGGCGGCAAATCAAACTGAGACTCGACTCTAACCAAGTCCAAGAAATTGGCAAATTGGCTTTTGGCAGGCGGCACAACTTGAAAAAAAAAACTAAAGAATCAAAACGTTAAAACGTTGCCGGCCAAAAAAGTTGTTGCGCCAGCAGCGGGGCATAATGAATTTGTTATTGAATATGTTTGGAGATTTAAGTTTATTTGTTTATTAATTTTTAAATATACATTTATATATTTTTTGGACTTACAATGAGCAAGATTCGATTTGAGCCTTAAATATTTAACATATAAAAAAATATATAGACGAAAGGAACTGCTAACTGGGATGAAGAAAGCAGCAGAGTGAGCAAAACAGAGTGGTAGAAGTGAGCGAAAAAGGCAGACATTAATAGCCGTACATATTCATATTATTATATATATATTTAACTATAAAATGTTCTATATAAAAACATACTAACATCTGTGCAAGAGCATTCAATGGTCTAAAAGTTGATTCTGTTGTTGTTGCTTTTGACTGATGAGCGGCTTCACGTCTGCGCGGCATCGGCGTCTGTCTCTTCATATAGCCCTGCGTCTGGCTCTTTCCCTCCCGTCTCTCTCTCTCTCTCTCTCTCTCTGTCTTCCCCAACCTCTGCCAGTCTCCGTCTGTCTATGCGTGCCAAAATGCCAATGGCGTTTTAATTTGAAGTCACATTTGGCAACGGCAGCGAGCGCCTGTTCCAAGTCCAATTTCAGTTCTTGTTTTTTATACAACATTTATGAGCTGCCGCATTTTATAATGTTCAAGTTGAGCCTTGCAGTTATAGTTTTATGCGTTTATTTGGCTTTTCCGGCACAGCCAACAGCTCGCACCGCGCTTGCAGAAAGGTTTGAGCCGAGCATTTTCGACACTTGTTGCCAATATTTTGTACCTGCTGCGAGTTAAGCAAAACTGGATTAGGCTCTATTTTCTTTTGGCTTTGCTTTTCTTTTTGCTTAGTCCTAATCCGCCTTCATGTAATTGCGCACAGACATGGCGCCAGTCAGTGCGAGGTTCGAGCCATGGCCATTGTCATTGTCATTGTGCTGGGCTAATAGGATCAGCTATGGCTGTCCGTCTGATCCTGGCGTGAAATCCGCAAATGTTGTTTACCTTTTGGCGAAAAAGGGGTTTGCGCTCTCAGCCCATCCATCTATCCATCCATAAAAGTCGTCAAGTGCATTTTAGACCTCTACGCTCTACTTGAACTGTTTTGTTTTGGCCAACTGCTGATTGTGGCCTTTTGTTTTTAGAGCGACACCCACGACAGCAGCAACAACAGCTCGAACTCGAACTTCTTTTTGGGCTCAACTGCTGTTGCTGGTGCTGCTGCTGCTGCTTCCTCCTCTTCTTGTTGTTGTTCTTGGCCATGAGTTAACAAAAAAAAACTTCGCATCGATGGGAAAATTGTGCAAACAATAAACCGCAGAAACAGGCACATCGAAAGCTCTCAAGCCAAATCAAGATATAGCCGACAAAGCACACACGCACACACACACTCATATCTACATCTTTTAAATATATATATATATCTTTTTTTTCTATATACCCTATAGCCATTATTATATTTCACTCGATAGCAATTATTGCTACCGTTTAATTGTGCGCATTGCGATTTTGTGGAGCTTCGACTTTTCACACGGCTTAGGTCTGCCCCCCCTCCCACTCTGCCGTTATGGCCCACTGCCCGCCCCCGGCTATCGCCTGCCCTCGGAAGTCTGTGAATGCAGCCACGTGGCTAATGATTCGCATTGCCGTCCTTTTTCACGCAATCAGCCAAAGAGGCTTCCAGCACTGGACGCTCAGGCTCTTGGCTCGCCTGAAAATCTATATATTAAAATTTTATGATTCGCAGCGAAACTTGGTCTTTGGGCCTAGCGGCATTTGGACTATTTCTTGTAATTTCCACACTTGTGCTCGAATTTTTCGACTCGGCAAAGTTTTTCGCAATAATTTGCATAGATAACTTTATTTTTTCATTGGCCTAAGCCACTCGAGCAATACTCAGGTAATACTCGCACTTGCCCAGCTCTATAATCATTTAGCTAACAGCTGCATCGGTCTACGCATGCATAAAAGGAAAATCAGTTAGGCAAAGGCATTTCATATTGACTTTTTATAGCAAATAAACATTATATATCTATAGCTAACATATGTATGTGGTAGTATCCCAGTCAAACAACTTAACATCAACTGTTTAAGATTTTACTAAGGTCAAGACGAAGCCAGGCTAGCTTATATCGGAAAATTTTTATTCTATGAACGTGTGTATGCATGTTTTAATGTATGTGTATGTGAGCAAATGTGTTTCACCTTTTTGGTAGATCATCCTGCTTGGCCACGCATGCAATAAAGTGTAGTTTTAAATAGCGCCTTTCTTTGCGATTTTCAAGAATTTAAGAATGCTTCACAAGCATTCAATCATGCCTAGATTCTAAGTTGATGTATCTATGCATTCATATATGAATATAGTATAATGATAAGGTAGCTTTATGTTTCCTTACACTGCAAAGAGACCAAAGCTTTGCTACTTATTGACAAATGAATACATCAATTGTGCATAAATATAATTTATGTTTCAAGTTAGTGCGATAGTAATCTGAGCACGGGTTATCTTCTAGCTCTATATAAAAAACTGTTTTCATTAACAAACGTCGAGTCATCTTGAGTGATGCATGGTGGAAAGAAAAAACGTGCAACCGCGTCGCGGTCGCAGTTAATTACCTGTGCGAACTTTTCAACTAGAGGTGCACCGCGGCCCGCAGCGTTACAGTGAACACTCGCTGTAAGTTGACTTTTAACCGGTTACTAACTGACATTTTCACCTTGTTAATTATGCGCACGGTCATGCAAAATCGCGCGCCATTTCAAGTGGCCAAATGAAGTGTCCACTCAAACTTGCATTGTCAGCAATGTCGAGCACGATGGACGCTGGACGATGAACGAGACATGGTCATGATGATCTCTTAATTGCATAGCTCAACTGAAAACCAACTGGCAACTGGCAACTGGTGCTGCAGCCTCCTAACAGCAGCAGAGGGAACAGCAGCTGCTTAGCTAATGTGACCGCTATAGAACAGCTGTAGCTAGTCTAGAAATTGATAATAAGAAGAGCATAAAGCAAGCATATAGCTCAATTCTAAATTCAGCTTTTCATTAATATCTTAGTTATAAAACACATTTTTCAAACCCAAAAAACTGTTCCACTTCAGATTACATTACTCACTTATACCTGGTCCATACTAAACGAAAACATGTGACCATTTTACTCTATTTATATATATATATTATATATATATATATATATATTCATATATATATATATATATGTATATTTATATATATATCTATATGCATGCATCACAACATCTTAATAACCACAACTCAGCCATAATGATGGAACAGCTGAATCTAGTCAGGCGTTGCCAATAGATAAACCACTTGAATGAACGCCATTGCAAAAAAAAAACATTGCCGACTGTCTGACCCGGGCACAGGTGACAGGTGTAGGCTAGAAGTGTGGATACAGGTGTTGCAGGTGTCGTAGTTGCATTAGTAGGCGTTAACACAGCCACAGGACTTGAACAAAATTAACGCTCAAACTCTTAAGCAGACAACTGGCGCCATCTATTGCATGTTGCATAAGACAGCTAACAGATTTAGCCGCCAGAGTCAAAGAGAATCCAGTAGAAAGCTAAACCAGTGCAAACGCGATACTTTTTCAAATGAAAAAGGAAGCACATATTTAGATGTACGGCATTCAAAAATATTATGTAATTACTGATCTCTGTAAATTACACTTTTAATTTAAATACTTATAAAATTGTATCGTAAAATGGTCCATTTTCTTTAGCAATAGTGCATTTTCGATGGCTTAAATCGTCCATATTCGCCATTTGTTGTGGGCGGCACTTTGGCATTCTTGTTGACATTGTGATTTTGCTCGAGTTGCTTTTCCAATTCTTTCAACGAATCGGAATGGTTATAGGCATGCAGCTTATTTAGGCGCCTTTCCCGTGCATACTGTAAGAATAGATCATGTCCGTACCTATGCTGGCTCTCGCAATAGATCTGAGCGACGCGACTGAAGTCGATATTCTGTCTGCCTGGATACCAGCTGAACAGCTTTTGCCAACGATCCGATGTTTTGGTATCCTTGCTGGCTACGAGACGATGATATTTCAAGTTATCCGTCGTAATCACATCGATCGGCATAATGGAATAGATTTTATTATTACTTTTTAATATTTTAATGTTAAATTAGTACATTACACTGTGAATTTGATGAAGCTTATAAATGGATTTACATTGTGTATCTGGAATTTACTTGAAAAACTGAGCTGAACTGAACTGAACTGAACCGAATCGAAATTTGATTTTAAATAAATTAAGCCTTTGTAAAGTAGACAAGGATATCAGTACGTGAAATATTGTCATTATAGAATGTTAGATTCAATAGGTAACGTCCTTCGGGAATGAAATTCTTTACCACATTGTTCACATGTTGCACAGGCAACTTCTCCAATATTAACGCGTGCTATAAAATAAAAGTATTATTACATATATATTATATATATATATATATATATATATATATATATATATATTATATATATTATATATATTATATATATATTATATATATATATTATACGTACATTAAAAGGACATGTGTGATTCACATTTGCATATGCTGCAAATGTATTGAATATAATCCGGGCAATTGGATTTTGGCCTTCTTTCAAAAATTTGCAAGCATTTACAAATCCTTTATATTTTTCAAATATATTTCGAGTGTCGCGCTTTATAAGCTTAAATGCCACCTGTAAATATGGTAAGTTCGTGATTCATAAGACTATCTTATAAATCTGAGTTCTTACCATAGCATTTTGAACTGGCAACTGATGGACTACAGCCTTCAACGAAAAGTATTTGTATGTGCGATTTACGGACTTCAAATAGCAATACTCGAATTCCAGATATTTTTTGTCATGCGTCAAACAGTTGACATTATTAAACTCAAGATCTGCAGTAATCTAAAATAAAACATGTTTGTATAACTATTAAAAAAATAAATAATCCAACTAAGATACCTATAAAGGCCAAAAATAAAAATATTCGCAAAAAAATCATTCGTCTGCCGTTGAAAACCAATTGTACAATTGTAATAATAATTTTGGACTATTCAATATGAATAATATACTTTGTACATTGCATCGCTGTTGCTAATTATAATTGCCAGCATTATAAAGATGTTAATCTGTTTATAATTAAAAAATATATTTTTGGAGAATCCAACTCAAAAGTATTTTAAATAGTTAATCATTATTAAACAATTTGGTTCAAAATAATTGTGAAATATAGGAAACTCAGAATCGAACACTGATACACATTGATCTTCGGTTATGCTGGCTCTTGAACATTTGATGGACACTTTTGAATTATTTACCACCACAGTTCCACAATAGTTGGGAGCGCTGAACGCATAGCATACGATGTTGTTTTGATATTGCTATCGCCGATATGCCATCACTAACACAGCACTGATGGAATTTTGAGCAACTAACGAACGTTCAGAATTTGGCTATTTGAAACATAATAATTGTCGTGAGCACAAGATTAGTCAATTATTGGGGAAATTATCCACTGAAGCGACATATGCGATTGATATTTGAATATGGTGCAAATGTATTGAATATTATACCGGCAATTAGATTTTGGCCATCTTTCAAGAATTAACAGACATTTATGATGCCATTAAATTGTTCAAATATGTTTCGGTTGTCGCGCTTCAGAAGCTTGAATTCAACCTGTGTATATTTTGAAAATGTAATTAATAAAATTAAAATTTGTTATAAAATTAATTCTTACCTTAGCATTTGGAACTGGTAACTAATGGATTACAGACTTTAACGAAAAGTATTTATAGGTGCGATTTATACACTTCAAATAACAATAATCGTTTTCGAGATTTTTTCATCATGACTTAAACACTACACATTATTAAACTGAATTGGCAGTAATCTTGAAAAATAACAATTTTATAGTTATTATTAAGATATATAGAAAAATTCAATTCAAATTCAACTTACACCTATTATACCTATAAGGGCACAAAATAAATTAAATGCGAAAAAACATTGTTCTGTCGTTTAAAACCAATCGACCAATAATAATTATAGCTTTAGACTGTTCATTATGAATATTATACCTTACATGCTTCATCGCAGTTGCAAATTATAATTGTCATCATTTATAAAGATATTAATCTGTAATACTTATAATTTTAAAAATTTTATATAGATGACCAAATTAAGCATTTTATCACTATCGAATAGGTCAGCGAACAATGATTGAGAAATATGCTAATCGATGATATATGCATATGATCTTCCGATATGTTTTTGTTTCGTGCACTTGTCGAACGAATTCGATTTATATATTTATTATATATATTATATACTTACCACAACCATTGCTCAACAGTTGGGCTTATTGAACGCAGAGCACAATATATCGTTTTAATATGACTATCGTCAGCACTCCACCACTAACAGCTTATCGTATTCCGTCTGGCGGTTAAATTAAAAGTTGAAGCCGCACATAATATAACAGAACAAAATATTTTATATTTTGATTGCCAAATGAACTCATCAGTACAAGAATTTTTATGAAGCTACTAACTGGATGAACAAGCTAAAATTTATTTAAATACATACATTTTTTGTAAATTTAACACAATTAAGATTTTGTGAAGTAGACAATGACATCAGCACGTGCAATATTGTCAGTATACCAGGATAGATTCAACAAATATGGACCTTGGGGAATAAAAGGCTGTGCCATTTTGTTCACATATTGAATTGGCAACTTCTCCAATATTATGTCATGCTGAAAAGAACGAAAGATTAGTAAAATATCAAGCAAATACTTATACGTACATTGATGGGACATGTGTGATTAATATTTGAATATGCGGTAAATGTATTGAATATAAGGCCGGCAATTGCATTTTGGCCATCTTTGAAGAATTTGCAGACATTTACGACGCCATTAAATTGTTCAAATATGTGTCGGTTGTCACGCTTCAGAATTTTGAATTCCACCTGTATATAATTTGAATTTTTAATTAAGAAAATTTTAATTTTGTATTCAATTAAATTTTACCTTAACATTTCGAACTGGTAACTGATGGATTACAGCCTTTAATGAAAAGTATTTATAGGTGCGGTTTATGGACTTCAAATAGCAATATTCGAACTCCACATATTCTTTGCCATGAGTCAAGCACTTGACATTATTAAACTCAAGATTTGCAGTGATCTGAAAAGAATAAAATATTATTTATGTGTCATTTTGAAACTATAAGTATATATAATTCAACTTACGCCTGAAAAGCCCAAAAAGGCCAAAAATAAAAATAAACGCAAAAAAAGCATTCGTCTGTCGTTAGAAACCAATGGTCCAGTAGCAATCATAGCTTTAAACTGTTCATTGTGAATATTATACCTTATAAGCTTCATCGCAGTTGCGAAGTATAATTGCCAATAATATAAAGATGTTAATCTATTAAATGTATAATTAAAAAATACCATATTCATATATTCAACAATTCAGCTCAAAATAATTGTGAAATATAGCATACTGGTAGTCCGTAATACCTACTATCGAGCTATTTATGGCCAGTTTGGTTAATTGAACGCACAGCACAGGATATCGCTAACGTTTGCATGGCACCACAGCTACGATCGACTATTTTGTATTTGATCAATGTTGGTAATTTTGAAATTTTCTTGCCAGCCTTAAGATTTTTCATACCAAACACGGGGAAAATGTGAAACAGCGGCTGGAATGATTTAGAGTTATATTAAAACATGAAATAGCAGTAATATTCGACAACACCACTATTGACTATTTACGATCCTGATTATTTCCGATTGTAGGATAAATCGCCAAGTTCTCTACAATGGAAAGTGTGAAACTTGTCATATTATTATTATTATTAATTATTATGACCATATCTAAAATACAAATGAATAAAATGCAATATTTTATTTAATGAATGTCAAATGAATTCATCATTACGGTGAAATTTAACATTTTTAGCATTTACATTGTGTGTTTGGAATATACATAAGAATTTATTTGAATAACTGAACCATTTAAAATTGACTTAAAGACTGTATGTTTTTGCAAAGTTGACAATAGGTAAATTAATATTTTGTAAAGTAGACATTGAGATTAGTACGAGGAATGTTGTCATTATAAAGGGTTACGTTCAAGTAATATTATCCAGCGGGAATAAAGTTCTTTACCACATTGTTTATATATTGTACTGGCAACTTCTCCAATATAATATCGTGCTGCAAGAAAGACCGAATATAAGCTTTATATAAAATAAATAATAATCAAACTTACATTATAGGGACATGTGTGATTCAGATTTGAATATGGCACAAATGTATGGAATATTATTCAGGCATATCGGGCATATTTGCTTGATACTAACTATTTCAAAACTAATCCTCAAAATGGTCAAACAGAATAATTATCTTTTATATGCTTCATCGCAGTTGATAATTATAAATATCAGCATTTATGAAGATCTATAATTTTTAATTTAAAAAAAAAAACTATAGATCAGCGAACTTAAATATTTTAAATATTTTATTATTGTTGAAGAGTATAAGTCAAAATTATTGTGAAAACTCAGCATTTATCGTTATGTTTCGTTAAATATGAAGAGCTTGACCAAATATTATTGTCTAGCCACCGTTGCGCAACTGTTGGGGTAACCGAACGTATAGTACAAGATATCGGTTTAAAATAACCATGCCAACACAACACAGCTACTATCGATTTGATTGCATTTAATTGAACCGCGCAGTACCGTCAATGTTACAGCACATACTGGCTATGGCATGTAAAACTTAATTAGAGCTGTGTTTGCTTTCACCTTTCAATTTTGCGATAATTTTTGTGCGCTTCTTCAAGTTTGCCAAGGTATCTACGACGATACAAAGTGTTTAGCTGGCCATGGTATTAAAAGCCTTTGTGCACATTATTACGATCAGATCTAAAATACGAATAGTAAAATTCAATATTTTATTTTTCGAATGTCAAATTTATTTATCAATATTATGTGCTTTTAGAAGCTACTAACTGAATTTAGTAGTAAATCTGTGCAGTAGAAAATTGATTTGAAAAATATTAATATTTTGTAAAGTAAACATGTACATCAGCCCGTGCAATATTGTCATTATACCAGGATAAATTTAATAAATATCGACCATCGGGAATTAAATTCTGTACCATATTGTTCACATATTGTACTGGCAATTTCTCCAATATTATATCGTGCTATCAAATAAAAGCTAGATTAGTTAAGTACAAATAAACTAAAAAATAATCAAACCTACATTGTAGGGACATGTGTGATTCATATTTGAATACGGTGCAAATGTACTAAATATAAGCCTGGCAATTGGATTTTGGCCATCTTTCAGAAATTTGCAGGCATTTATAGACCCATTAAATTGTTCAAATTTGTTTCGAGTGTCACGCTTCATAACCTTGTATACCACCTGTATATACAGTGAATTTATGATTATTAGACTTGCTATTAATAAAATTCATTATACCTTAGCGTTTTTAACTGGCAACTGATGGAGTACAGCCTTTGCCGAAAAGAATTTGTAGGTGCGATTTATGGACTTCAAATAGCAATATTCGAATTCCAGATATTCTTTGCCATGGGTCAAACAGTTGACATTATTGAACTCAAGATTAGCAGCCGTCTAAAAACGTAATTAAAACATTATTTCTTATTTGTTTTGAATAATTTGTCAACTTACGCCTATGGTGCCTATAAAAGCTAAAAATAAAATTATACGCGAAAATAACATTCGTCTGCCGTTTGGAAACATTTGCCCGATAATAACTTCAGGTTTAAAATGGTCAATCGGAATAATTCTTTTTTATATGCTTCATCGCACTAGGTAATTATAAATGGCATCATTTATAATGATATTAATCTATAATAATTATAATTAAAAAGAAAAAACCATAGATCTGCGAACTTAACTATTTCGAATAATTTATTGTGGTCAACTCGTCTTCCTTATCAAGAATATATATATTTATAGATTCTGCCACGCTACCTTCTACACATTCCTATTTTTAATGAGTGCACGATATAATTTGTATAAAAAACTCAGAAAGATTGCAGACCCTTGTTGCATTTGCATATTGTGACCTAATTATGTCCAGAAATAATAGATAAATGATTAAAATGCAAGAAAAATTAATTATTTAATCACAAGAATTTACTAGAACAACTGAATTTAATATATATTAAGTTTTTGTAAAGTAGACAATAAATAAATTAGGATTTTGTAAAATAAACAAGGACATCAGCTCGAGGAATATTGTCAGTATACCAGGACAGATTCAATACATATTGACCATTGGGAATAAAGCTCTTTATCATTTTGTTCACATATTGAACTGGCAACTTCTCCAATATTATGTCGTGCTAAAACGAACGCAAGATTAGTACAATTTTGATGGAATTAGTTATACGTACATTGAAGGGACATGTGTGATTAATATTTGAATATGCGGTAAATGTATTGAATATAAGACCGGCAATTGGATTATGGCCATCTTTCAAAAACTTGCAGACTTTTGCGGTGCCATTAAAATACTCAAATATATTTTGGGTGTCCCGCTTCAGAATCTTGTATGCCACCTATAAATATATTAAGTTTTTGATTATTGAAACTATCAGTGATAAAATTCTTTTTTACCAGAATATTTCGAACTGGCAACTGATGAAGTACAGCCCTTGCCGAAAAGTATTTGTAGGTGCGATTTATGGACCTCAAATAACAATATTCAAATTCCAGATATTCTTTGCCATGAGTCAAACACTTGACATTATTAAACTCCAGATTGGAGGTCATCTAAATACATAATTAAATCATTATTTTTATTTTATTTTATTTTAAATACTTCAACTTACGCCAATGATGCCTATAAAGGATAAAAAGAAAATGAAACGAGAGAACATTCGTATGCCGTTTGGAAATACTTGCTGGACAATAATTGCAACTTTATGCTTTTCACTTCAAGTAATATACTTTGTATGCTTCATCACCGTTGATAATTATAAATGTCTGCATTTATAGAAATTATTCTCCAATTTTTATATTATAAAAAAATGTATATATCAGCGAAATCTAATCATTTAAATATTTAGTTTTGGCAAAAAGTAAAATTAAAAATAATTCCAAAATATACTAAAAACAGAAACAATTAACGAAGTCATTATGCACACTGAACTCCCGTTATTTTTACTATGTATCACTTGACAAACATAATATGACAACTACTGTTTCACAACTGCTGGGCTAATTGAACGCAATATCATTGGCATTCCACCACTAACAGCTTGTCATATTCTTTCTAATAATAATGATGGAATAAGCACCAATATTTTATTTTTCGAATGTCAAATTTAATCATTATTACTATGATTTTTAAGAAGGCAACTGGATTTACTTGGATAATTGAATTGAACGATAGAAAATGTAATAAAAGATGTATGTCTTTTGTACAGTAGACAATAAATAAATTATTATTTTGTAAAGTAGACAATGACATCAGCCCGAGCAATATTTTCAGTATACCAGGATATATTCAATAAATATGGGCCATCAGGAATAAAATTCTGTATCACATTGCTCACATATTGTACTGGCAATTTCTCCAATATTATATCGTGCTATCAAATAAAAGCTAGATTAGTTAAGTACAAATAAACTAAAAAATAATCAAACGTACATTGTAGGGACATGTGTGATTTATATTTGAATATGATGCAAATGTACTGAATAGAAACCTGGCAATTGGATTTTGGCCATTTTTCAAAAATTTGCAGCCATTAATAGAGCCCTTTATCTGTTCAAATATGTTTCGAGTGTCACGTCTTATAATTTTGAATTCAACCTGTATATATTTTAAAAATTTAATTAGTGAAATTATAATTTTATTTAAAATTAACTTTTACCTTAACACTCCGAACCGGCAACTGATGGATCATAGTCTTTAACGAAAAGTATTTGTAGGTGCGATTTATTGATTTCAAAAAACAATATTCGTATTCCAGATATTCTTTATCATGAGTCAAACACTTGACATTATTGAACTCAAGATTCACAGATGTCTAAAGGTAAATATAAACATTATTTTTATGTTGCTTTTTAAGTATATTTCAACGTACACCTATTATTCCTATAAAGACAAAAAATAAAATTAAGCGCGAATATAACGTTCGTCTGCCGTTTGGAAACATTTTTACTCTTATAACTACACAATTATACTATTCAATACGAAAAATATACTTTATATGCATCATCGCCGTTAATAATTATTAATGACAGCATTTATGAAGACATTATCTATAATAATATAAAAACAAATATTATTTTTCAAAGAATCGAAATTTAATATTTTAAATATTTAATTATGGTTAAACAAATAATTTAAAAATATTTGAGAAATATCTAAATCTCAGACCTTAGACACATATTTTGTTTGCACTATGCTGTAAATAACATGAATATAAGATAATTGCTACCACCATTGCATAACACTTACGCTACCTGAAAAAACAATACAAAATATCGCTTTAACATGACTATCGTTCACATGCCACCACTAGCACAGCTGATATTTTGGCGGCAAATTCTATTCAAAACAATCTCAATCAAAGCCCAGTGTAAAATTGAATAAAAAATTATGCATGATTCAGTGCAAGAGATAACTAAAACGCGACGGTTTCTCAAAGAGCGATTGCAACGCGACTATACCACAGTGCGTGGCTATGAATCGGAGCGTAATAATGTGCGACAACTACTGCAGCGCACAGCTGAAATGGGTGAATCGAATTCTTTGCTTTTGATAGGACCGCGCGGAGCCGGCAAAACTACAGTAAGTACTGGCTTTAAATATCAGCCTCTGCTTTACACTTTGGCTTACTCTTCAGCTTATCAATGCCGTGCTCACGGATTTGCTGGAGAACAAATCGTTTGTGGACAACACACTCATTGTGCACCTGGATGGCAACTTGCATACAGATGATCGCATTGCTCTCAAATCAATCACCGTACAAATGCGCTTAGAGAATGCTGCTGATGGCAAAGTATTTGGATCATTTGCTGAGAACTTGGCCTTTCTGCTGCAGTGCCTCAAGGCTGGAGACAAGAAGTCAAAGAGCGTTGTCTTTGTCCTGGAGGAATTTGATCTCTTTTGCACACATCACAATCAAACTTTGTTATACAATTTATTTGATGTCTCACAGTCAGCTCAGGCGCCAATTTGTGTGCTGGGCGTCACCTGTCGACTAGATGTCATTGAGCTGCTTGAGAAACGTGTAAAATCACGATTCTCGCACAGGTATGCTATAAAATGTATATATTTATTTGTATATCCCTAAACACATTAATTAACTTATCTATTCACAGGCAGGTCTTCCTTTTCCCCAGTGCTAATAAATTCGAGGAGTATGTCTCGCTCTTTCAGCATCTAATAAGCATACCAAGCAGTACGGAGCTGCAAGCAGATGCGGATCGCATTGACAGCCTGCAGCTATTCAAATCGGAAGCCTTTACCTTTCAGCGTAATCATTTCGATGGAGTTGAATATAATTTTAATAGTAAACATGTTGAGAATTGGAACAGAAATATCGGAAAAGTTATCAAGACGCCCGCAGCACAGAAGACCCTTCAAATGCTATACGATTTTGATATAAGCGAAGCATTTCTAAAGACTTTCATATTTCGCGTGGTGGCACAATTGAAAGCTGATGCCCCACATATAACAGTGGAGCAACTCACAGCACTTGGAGCTCAATACGAATGCGATGACAAAGTTGAACTGCTCTGCGGTCTATCTGTACTCGAGCTGTGCTTGCTTATTGCCATAAAACATCATTCGAGCATTTATGATCGCGATCCTTTCAATTTTGAGATAATTTTCGCGCGCTTCTCCAAGTTCGCCAAGGTCTCTTCGACGATGCAAGGTGTTGAGCGTGCCATAGTATTAAAAGCCTTCGAGCATTTGCGAATTGTGGAGCTAATTATGCCCTTATCTAGTATTGGCTTGGGCAAAGTACAAAAGGAATTTGAAATGCATAAAATGGCTTTGACATATGGACAGATACAGCAGGCTGTGCAACGCTATCAAGCGCTGCCCACAGAAGTTGCACAATGGGCGCAGAGTTCGCTGATCTAAGAATAATATTATTCCTTAATTTTACAATTTATTTATTAATATATTTAAATATACTTAACTACACACGCTTGTCCACTTAATGCTGATTAATGTTTAATACTCTTTTACTATTGCAAGGGATATACATATACACACCTCCTTCTATGTATTCCACAAAATGTTCCCATTCCCGATTGTCATTGTTAATTATGTAATTAGGTCAATTAGGTAGTTGATCGATAATGCAAATTCTTAGAGCAGCTGTTGCCCGCATTTGAACTATTATATAAATTTTCTCTATGAGCCTGAAAATTGAACAGTCGTGAGCCAGCAGCAATGAATAGACTTACAATTCTGTTTGCAGTGCTGCTACTGGCGGAGCTTTGGATCGCAGGACATGCGGATGAGAGTCCTGGTTTCTTTCTGAAGATCACCAAAAACGTGCCACGACTGGGCAAACGCGGCGAAACATTCCTCATGAAAAACATGAAGACCATACCACGCATTGGTCGTAGCGATCCAGAGGTAAGTAAAGCGCTATAAGAAATACTATATCTAACGGAAATTATGTTTTATTTAGGCCTCCATTACTCCTTTGCTAACCTGGCTATGGAATTTGGATATGGAGCCACAGTTCAGCAAACGTCGACTGCCCAGCAAAGGAGCCACAGGCAGTGTGGAACATGAGTTGACCGTCGTTCAGCCCGTCAACTCAAATACTCTGTTAGAGCTACTGGATCGTAATGCTATACCCAGCGAGCATGTCAAATTCGTGCACTGGAAGGACTTTGATCGTGCTCTGCAAGCAGATATGGAACTATATACAAAGGTTATTCACCTAGGTCGCGATCCGGATCAACGGCTCAAGCAGGATCTTAGCTTTAGCAGTTATGTACCCATCTTTGGCTCTGATGACGGAAAGGGTAATGATTTTATGATGTACAACAAGGACGATAGGGACTTGTATGGCAGCTATGATCGCAATTTTATGCAGTACAATCGCTTATAAATGGGCGGTAAGTGTGCATTAGAAAGTATATCATGTATTCTGGTTAATGTCGGCTCGCTTATATTTGTATACGCAATGGTTAAAATAAAACCAGAGTTGAAAGACCAAAACGTTTTTAAACAACTAAGCGATCATTGCACCCTCTCTCTCTCTCTCTTCCGCGCTTGCCTTCGCTTGTCAAAAAGAATGCGAACGGAGGCAGCCTGCTTGACAGTTTGAAGTGCATTATCGATTAACGGTTTTGCAGTAGCTGCCATCGAAATCCTCTTTTGTGATGACTGTACTAAGAACAAGCCTCCTCCAGGCCTGTGTCAACGTAATTGTTTGACTTAAATATATGTAATCCACATGCATATAAAAAATAAGAATAATTTACATTGATTGCTTTTAAATGCCTTAATTTTATCATTGAATGTAGAATTTATAATTAGGAAATTCCATCCTTCAGTAATTAGCGAAAATGCGTGTTTTAAAAATGCTTTTGAAACCGGTTTCTGTTATCGGCATTTGGCGACACAAATTCCAAGTGATTTGTTTTATTTTTTTTGTGATTTTTATTTTTCGATCAAATAAATTTCACGAAAATTAACGCTTAAACAATATCGGCGGCGCCGTCATAATACAAATACATATATAGATACATAAATGTATATTTATTTGAATGACAGTCTATGTTTTCATTTGGATTAATTAACAGGTAATCGTTAAATATTTCGCATTTTTATTTTGACAACAAACAACAAAAACAGCAAAATGCAATTGACTTCATATAAAGAGAAAAATTGCATATTCATTAATTTAGCTTTGAAGCTCAACAGCTTTTAGAACCGTAAACTTGACTTTGAAATTTTACAATATTTTGCTGCGTTGTTGTTGCTATTGTTGCTTTTTTTGCTGCTTCTCTCAATTTCTATTTTAACTGCAAGAGTGCGTAGAACAAGTTTGCCATATATGCGAATGTGTGTGTGTGCCTGCCGCTTCAAATTGCGAGAGCGCTAGATTACTCTCGTATGCTCTCTCACTTAAACTACTCTCTCAACAACTTATTTGAGCTGAGCTCGTGCCGTTTCTGAAGAGCTCGAGCCAACACAATTGCTTGGAGCTGTTTGTAAGCAATCAGCCCGAGCTCTTCGTGTACGTGACACGCAGACATCGCCCGCTCAGTCGCGCTCAGAGCATAAATAGGTATGCACCGATACCTGTTGCTTCATTTGAAGACGAGCCGCTGTCGCGAACGCATCGTTCAAGCGTTTCATTTAACAGTGTTTGTGTGTGTTGGTGAGGAATTTCAACTGTGGGTGTGAAATGTGAGACGAGCTTTTTTGCCTTTTGAGCTGAAAGACAGACACACGATTTGAATGCAAACAAAACCGACACAACCAAATAAAACAAAATTAGTAAAGCTTGTACAATTTAGTTTAATTAAGTGCGAAAACAAAGACATTGGGAGCAAAGAAAGTTTTCTTTTAAAACTGAGTCAAAATAGAAAGTCTGGCAGCGCGGATTACACACATACCTCGCAACAAAGTTAACGGCGTGCAATTGCCACAGCTGACCGCTTGGGATCAAAGGCAATCAGGCAACCTTTGCCATAGTGAAAAACAACAGCAACAACAATGAAGATGATGATGAGTGGTGCCAGACTAATTTTGGCCAGCTGTCTGCTTAGCGCAATAGCCATCCAAATGAGCGCTGCCTCAGCTATTCCCATTTGGGAGTTTTTGTCGCGTAACGAAAAGGTAAATTCAACACATATATATTAGAGACATAAACAGTTTCTAAATCGAACGTAAGCCGCTACACATTTTCATAAAGACACACATACTTAGATAGATACGTATATATTGTAATAATAAGCATTACGCATACGCCACGTTCGCTCCAGTTACAATGACAATGGTGAGCTGTTGAGGCGTCCTTGGCATTGGACTGATCTGCTAAAAAAACTAGCACAATTTTTGCGCACATTATCCATATTTTTATGAGATCTTAATTTTTCGATTTTCGATGATTTTTGTTAACATTTTTTTTCAATGAGCATCATAAATAGCGTTGCCTTAATTACTATGCATATTTCTGCACATAATTAGCTGTAGTATGTGTAAGTCTTTAACGGCTCTTTTTGTTATGTCTTTCGTTTCCACACCAACATTTGACTTCTTTTATTTTTATTGAATATTGAATAAGTTTTGAATGCCGAATATGCATATGGATAGCAGACATTAAGACTACGCTATTTGAATCTCATTTGCATAGCTGTACCGCAACAGCAACAAATAGTTAGCTGAATCACAATTTAAACAATAAATACTCAAGATAATAATAGAAATATGAAAATATGATCAAACAACAACACTGACAGAAGCGGCTGCTGCCACTTTACTACAGTTTTGTATTCACATATATGAATATATATCAGAATATCGGCATTAGCCATCCTTGACATAAATAATGAGACTCCGTTGCCTGCTCTTGACATTGTCAACCTTATCAATTGTAGCGCATCTGTAAGAGCTTTGCTTTACTTTTGACTTAAAATTCTCTCAAACATATTGAGGCTGTGGCTAGCCTGGCTTTTTTCGTATTGATTGGCTTGCTATTTGCTAAAGTGTTGGCAAATATAAACAGATACTGATGCATATATATATACAGACATATAGACATATACTTAATATAATGCCGGTTTCATCAGAAAAAGCTCTCGACTTTTATGGAAGTGACCAAACGGAAATTTAGAAAGGCAGGTTTTTTATTTTTGTTTTGTTTTTATTTTTGTTGGCCTAAAACATAAAGCGAGTTAGTCGAATTCACTTAACGATTGAATATCCATGCATATACATACTGGCACATATATACATGTTTGCTTGACTGGCCAGAAATTTATTTAGTTGAGTTAGAAACAAGATGAAGCATAAAAGCTGTTCGATATATCAGTTTAAAGATAACACAAGTTTGTGATATGACAAATCATGGCTTTGGGGAAGTACATTATATATGTAGCTCATTAGAACAGTAGCCAAATTAATGCTATTAAATATTAAAAAAATATTTTAAAATTCATTTGAATTAATTTTTTTTATAGAAAGTAGCCAACTAAACAATCAATATTATTTAGAAGGACAGAATTTTCAATTCAAACATTTATCGATGCTTTATTTGTTCAGACCTAACTGAATAGTTGCTGCATAATATATAATCATTGGCTAAGCCCTTGGCGGAATGATAATATAGATAATAGTGTATAAGTATAAGAGTAGAGTAGTAGAGTAGAACAGAGTAGAGTAGAGTATAAGTATGCATAGAGCATAGCGTATAAGAATGGAGCAGAGAGATAGTATCGAGCTCGTATAGAAAGTATCGATAACTATTTCGGTTAGAAAATGAGTTGTAATGGGAGCTCACTTATAGTGCTATGTACTTAACTATCTCTTTACAATTTAAGTGAAATATTCAACAATAAAACATGAACATTTGGCATAAATGACAGCAAGCATTTGTTAGCATAATGAAAAGTAATTACCAAAATGAACAATAAAACCAAATGAGCTGCATTCAAGCCAAGCCGAGTCGAGCCGAGCCAAGCGTAACGCTGAAAACAAGACAAACATTAAATTTCGTTTATGATAAACAAAAAGAGAGGAAAAAAAAAATAAAAACTATTTTCATTTACATGTACATTTCGAGTGGGGGGCAAGGTATGAAACATAAAACAAATAATCAAAAAAGTAAAAAAGCTTTTCACTTTTTTGCGCAACAAAGCGTGACAACGAAGGCGTCTGCCTCCCCCCTAAAAGAGTAGCTGCCCGATGAGGGGAGATCGGACTCTTTGGTGGCATCTAATGGAAGTGTTGGCAGTTCGGTGCTCGTTACACGCTCGTAAACAGTTAATGAACTCCAAAGTGCGGCAAAATGTTGAAGAAATCCAAATTTATTTGTATAAGTTTATGCGTATTATTCATCGAGAGCTCTATCCCAGAGCCAGGCCTCCCTCATTTCGCTTAGTCATGTCATGGATCCTATTAAAAGTTGGTATTTTTGGCAGCGCATCGCACGCGAACTGCGCCTTAAAAAAATCAACTCAGCTTTACATTATTGTTGTTATTTTCTATTCTAAGCCACTTTATATAATAGTTCGAATAGAACAATGAAGCCAACGTTTGCTTTTGCAAGGCGATACGAAACGATAGGAGTATGTATGCGTATTATAAGTGTGTCCGCACATCCGGCACCCGCATATCCACTGACAAATGAGAAAATAATTTCCAAAAGCTAATTAATTGCAAAAAAAATAACGAATTCTAAAACGCAATTTGCGCAACTCACAAAAAAAATGGAATAACAAAACATTCACATTAGAAATTGCTAATTGGAATTTCGGCTTTTACACGCATCGATATATATGTGTATATATACGCTGTACTACATTTATTCATTAAGTGCTTTTTGTAGCCATGTAGAGCCCTTCTATGCGATTCTGTTCTTGGCTTCTTAACTTATGTGCTTAGCTAATTCATTTATTTAAATACTTTGTAAGCTTTGTGTGTTAGCTGAACTATGTACAGGGTATTTTAAAGCTTAGTTTCGCGAGCTTGCATAGCCTACCTCTTAATTAAATGTTGTTTACCGTTGCCCGCATGCTTCATCGCATCTCTAGCGCTTTCGATTTTCGATTGCAAAAAAACAACAACAAAACACAGTTAGTAATTAAACAATGTTGTTGTTGTTTAACTTTTATTTATACTTTTCTTGACGTTTCTTTTCCTTTTTGCCCTTAACGCGTTTAGCCGGTTTGACCCGAACTCAAATAAATAAATTATGTTCGCATTACTTTTTTACGTAAAGTGTATATATAATATCTATGTGTGTGCGTCTGCTATATATATATGCAAAAAAATGTAGCATCGTCATGATTATACACATATATATAATATACATACAGATTGTATGAACTTATCATGTTGTGCAGCTGTTTTATCTTATATATTGTTCATTTCGGGTTCGAACGTTTCTCTTTTAAGTTTTGTAAGCCCTTTTTACTTGTTTTGCTATAATTTTGTTTTCTTGTTTCATTTTTTATTCGGCTGTTCGTTTCATAACAGCATAAACTGCGCAGATCAGCAGGTTATTGAACCAGGTATTGGACATTAAACATCATAAGCACCATAAAGTTTAGAAAATAAACAAAAACTAAATAAATTAGTAAACATTTCTTGAGGAGTTCCGTACAGTCTGACAAATATTTATGGTTTTCTATATTAGAAAAGTTGTTTAATTAAACTTTATTTATGCATTTACTTATTTACAACAGGTGCGAAGTTCCTTGTCTTCATGCTAAGTTAAAATATTTCTGTTCTATTTTTAGAATTTATTTATTTTTTTTGCTGATAATTATTCATATTCATTTTAAGGCCAAGTGCGCTTCTAACTAAATCAAAAACTTGTTCACTTACATTTTTATGGCCGTTCAATAAGTGAAAAGAGTATATTTGTTTTGTTGTGCACTGTTCTTCGTTGACTTGTCTTGTTGTCTAGAGTCTCAAAGTTGGTGATACACCTTATAGCTGTATATATCCACATTACTCTATATATATTTATTGGTATATATCCAGTATATGTATTTTTAATAAATTTTGCTGTTACTAGACGAGTATTTCGCAGTCGTTAGCCCCCAACGTTTTCAATGTTCTCATCTATTTTGTTCCCATGGCATATTTCTGAGCTGAGCTTTCCCACACATGCATCCTCCTCGAAATATGCATAAATATGCATTCCAATTAAATATATTTGTTTGTTTGTTACTTAATTAATTGCAATTGTAAATCATTGAGCGCTGCGCTGTTAATAAATAAACAAAAAGTGACAGCATTATCTCTGCTATATAAGCCGACTTTAATAAAGTTAAGATCAGGCATATGTAATATGTATATCTATATAATATGTGACTTTGACTTCACCCGCCTTCAAATTTCCTTTTTTTTTGTTTTGAATATTTTTGAAATTCTGACTAATTATTTGTGTCAGGGACTGGACCATAAAAAAAAGAGACACATAAATCAGATAATCTTTAATGTGGATTTTTTTGTATATATATAAACGTTTATTTATATAGGCAGGCCTACAGGTATATATTGTATATTTATAAATTTTGCTTGGGTAAATTGAGTAATTTGTGTTAAACACGAATTGGCTGGCAAAACAAAAAACATTTGGCATAAAAAATGATATTTATATAAATATATATATACAAACATATATTTATATATATATATATATATATATACATTTATATATCGCGGCTCAAATTGCATTTTACAGTTTGCACACGTTTTGTGGTCAATAAACATATGCGCCACAGGTTGTTGCCTTTGTTGTTGCTATTATTTGTGGGCTTAACGGTAATTTGTTATTTGAGACAGCGTTTTGTGCATATCGAGAATATCATTATGCAAACAGCGTTAAATTGTACAACTCGAAATATATAGCCAAGAGAGTCAAGTCAAGTCGAGCCAAGCCAAGACTTAAGAAGTTAAGTCGCAGCACAATTGAAAGCCAATGCAAATGCATAATTCGTTTGGATGTGTAACCAGATCAAGGTGCAATATACAAGAATCGTATATACACATACATACATATATATATTATATATATGCTTGCAAGCAGACCGACATTAAATATAGACAAAGCAGAGTCTATCACAAATTAGGTTTCAGTTTCAGCGGAAACAAAGCTTCCAATTGCTGGAAGAACTTTTATGCAATAAATGATGGATTAATGAGAAAATAGAATTACTATATAATATTATTAATAAGAAATTGACAATATATGTCAACAAGAAAAAAACTCTAACAGTGTCTTAGCATATTTGAAAGAGGATTAATTTAGGAAAAAAATCAATATGCGTATAATATAGAAAGTATCACAATATAAATAACTAATCAGTATAAATCAGATTTTCAGATAATTTAAGCTCGAGAAACCAAACAATAATAATAGAATACTAGATCTAATCACATTAAAATGTCAATAGCCGAATTTTAAGAAATTACTTAAAGAATACTCATAAAACCAAAAAAAAAAAAGAAGCATAAAATAATAAAAAAAAAATTTAATTATTTCTAGTTAATTCTAACAGCGCATCTAACTCAATATATGTGTGTATAAACAGAGGCTATATATATATATAGACTATATAGACTATATAGAATATATATATATATATATATATATATATATATATATATATATATATATGTATATATGCATATATATGTATGTATATACATGTTGTCAAATTTCAACACACCTCTTGGGACTTTCTTTGTTTGCGCTTAAATTCGCAATAAACTAAGCGTAGCTGCTAATAAATTAGAAATGCCGGATTTGGGAGTTTCTACATTTAATTATCGTCAGGCGTTCCATTTGATTAGCATGGCTGTCGCGTACGCCGTACCGCGCTTTACGTCATTTTAATCTCGACGTAGTATGTGTCATCCGGCGTAGAACATTCGGCTCAGACAACGCTTCGCTGAGCGCGCAGAATAGCCACATGCATTCACAGACACATACACATACATACATACATACATACATACATACATACACATATAATCGGTCTACATATAGCTAGACTGCTTTGGCTGCTGAACCGTGTAGAGAAAAACAACAAAGAAGTGGAGCAGCGCAACCCTTGCTCCCTCAGCCTCTCTCACTCGCTCTCCTACTCGCTTATTGCATAACACGCGACACACATTTTGAAATGCATTTCATTTGTGCGCATCACTCACACGCACTGTTGCCTAAGGCACTAGTTGCTTAATGCTGTCTCTAATCTAACCCGCCTCTCTCTCTCTCTCCACTTCTCTTCTCTTTGTATGGGCAGATGTCTTACTTGTACTCAACGTTTGCGCAGCTGGTTAGCGTGCACTGCAAGACGACGGTGGGCGGCGGCTTACCTGTAAATCAGTGCAAGCACAATTTACTCAGCTATGGCTATGAGAAATTGCAGACATTCTCTGATGGGCAACTGGAGGCGCTCGATCCGTACCAGCGCGATGCGAATGAGCTAAGTGAGTATTGCATATTTATGAATGCATCCAGATCGAAGCATGGGAATCCGTTCGGTATGCACTTCCGCATGCGATAACAGCTGCTTCTGCTGTTGCTGTCGCTGCGGCTGCTGCTACTGCTGCTGTTGTTGCTGTTATTATTATTTTTTTATATATTGGGCAGCGAAACGTGTTTTCCCCCTTAATATATACAATATGCGATAGTGGTAAATGTACGTGGTTATTTGATGGTTAACTCTATTTATCTTTTTCCGTAGTCTGGTCTTCGATTATGCGGGATCATCCCAGTGCTCAGCTGATTACGACACGCAAGCCACAGCCGATTCCAACGCCGCCCTCTTCCTCGCTAATCATACTCACGCATCGGCAGCCAGCGCAGAATCCGCTCTTTGAGAGCAACGCCGGCAACACCGAGCATAAGCACAAATATGCCATGGACATGGACATGGCCTATGGCTATGGTGGGGAGCAGCCATCAGGAGCGGCAAGTGAACAGCCCGTTGCCGCCGCCTTGACAGCTGAGCCGCCGCAAACGTATCTAAGTGGGCCTCTGGTCATCCGTTTGCGACCCGATGGTACGCCCGTCGAGGAGGATAAGCATCGTCCGCTGCCACGTGACGATGATTTGGAAACATATCGCCTGGCCAACAACAGCAATCTGCCCAGGCCAAACAGACATCGCAAAATCGCCACCATAAGTGCACTCAAGCAGCAACACTTTGCGGCCATTGCTCTGCAGCGCGAGCTGCAGCCACCGCATCCCCAACAGGTGCGACGACAGTTCCGCCAGGCACAGGTGAGCCCCGGCTACTACTATGGCAAGGGGCAGGCGTAAATGTGGCAAGGCGTTTTCTCTTTAACTTGTACTAGATTGTAGCTAACTTTAAGACGTAATATGATTGAATGTTTCCGGGTGTCTGAAAGAGTTATGAATGTGATATATAATTTATACGAGGGTGGTCTGAGACAAGAAGATAAGAGAAAATAGAAATATAGAGAAAAACAAAATTAATTTATTTAAATTAATAAGAATATTTTTTTGCTAAATACCATCCTCGTATTTTGATCGTGCATGTGTAAAATATATATGTATATATACATATCTATATATAAATGTTTAGGTGTGTGAATGATTTTCATGCACATAAGGCATAATTGAATTTCGTATTTGTACAATTTATATGACAACGTTTAAGTTTTTCTATAATTTTATTTATTCTTGTGCATTAGCTTTAAGCTGAAATAGAGATTCTTATAAAATAAAAAAGTTAATAAAATACATATTTCATATTTTGATGTGTGTAGTTGAATTTAAAACCAGTTTAATGAGATTATACGTTCAATTTTTGGAAAATTAAGTTTATGCAATGAAAGTTGCGATAACAAAGCATCTCCAGCTGTACACATATATGTATGTATATGCGAAATCCAGTTCCCTGTATATATACTTATATACACCCATTAACACGCGAGCGCCTCATTAACCCATATTATAGAAATATATGTGCTTGCACTTTAAGCCGAACAATGAAAACAATGAATACAATGAAAATGTGCCATATAAAGGCGAATCCGGTTCTGAATCTCATTTATCACTTGAAATGATGTCAATTCTGAAATACCAGCAATTAGAAGCGAATTTGCCAATTACAAAATCTCATGTAATGCCAAAAAAGCGGGTTTATCCGGTTGTCATCTATATCGAATGAATTGTCCATATCAAATGAATTGTTAAGAAAAAATAGCTGAATGTAAGTAATCGCGTGTAAAGATTTTGAACTGTCATTTAAATATGCAGATAACACAATAAATTATGTGATTTCAAATATGCTAAAAAGAAAGAACACGCGTTCAAAATTCAACAGCCGGCATTTGTGTGCAGTGTTGGACAATTTTGCAAGTTTGCTGTTCATGTACAAAACTGCCATTCACGTTATACTTTAAAAACAGCTGTTTTTCCAAATTGCTCTGGCCACACTCGATTAAACATGGACACTTCCACAAAATAAAAATAACTTATTCGGCTCTGTCACAAAAATAACACATCGAAGTATAGAAAATAACATATCATTGTCCGGTGCCCAGAAAGCTACCGATAAGGTTTGTACACAATTGGCATGAGTAAGATCAATAATATTTGTTATGACGCAGCAAGCGGGGAAGCCAAGAAATTACATTCGCCTATGAATCACAATAGAATAAATATCTTTGAAAGCATGTACATTTGTATCTGTATGCATTTATACAAAATAGCAAATACCAAAACACAAACGACCAGATTCAGGTGTGTGTTCATAGTTATCGATTAAACTCTGTACTGCGGTTTGATTTCATCAATTGAGCCAAATTCATTTAAATACTGGGGACTCCCCGTACAAGTGTCACACATAAACGCTCTGTTCTAAACGTATACGTTTCGTTATTTCAGTGACAGAACGAACGTAAAGGCGAAATGGCTGAAGAAGACTCATTCGTTATTTTGGGCACTTCGCCTTTATCTTCGATCTGCTCTCACGGCAATTCCCTGTTAACCGATGCTTTGGACAAAGAAACAACAGAAAAAGCGGTCGAAGCTCAACAAAGTGCAGATGTTAAAGAAGAAGCACCAGCCAGCATAAATCAACTAAGCGCAATACCAGAGCAAATGAATTCCACAGAGAGCAGTCTACCCACAACTTTGCCTTCTGGTCAAAGTTCTTTGGCAGCCAGCTTTTTGATGGGCGAGGTTCAGGCCGATGTGCTCAAGGTATATATAAAATATGGTAATATATTTTCAAATATACTAATTTATTTTATCCAAGCAGAACAGTGTTTACTCCCAATTCCCCAGCTTTTGTTCTCTGCAAGCCCGCGCCGAGGATGTGGTTAAGCTACAGACAATGATGACCGAATACATGGCATTGAAACGTATGTCCAGGCGGTATTCATTTTATAATATATAAAAATGTAAATATGTTTTAGTGTAGTAAAAAAAACTATTTGAAAATGGGTAAACTTATTTAAAAACTGGATTACTGCATATTTGCATTTTTATATATTATAAGCTGAGTAATCCTTTTCATACATTAAGGGGCTAATTTGTAAGGCCTACTCTCTTTGTGATATAAACTAATTTACCAAATGTAAAACATCTATCTATATAGAAACCTTGGATAAAGTGAATCATACGATGCAGGAATATTATAAAATCACGCAGCAGTGGCGAAACGAAGCAGCGACACGAGAACAACAATATCAAGAGCAATTGCAACAATGCCAAGCTCAGATTGAGAAGCTAACTGTGGAAAATCAAGAGCTAAAAAAGGATCTGGCATGTAACTTGGAGCAGATGCGTTTGGCTGAAGAGATGCATCAAAAGGAGCACGATGAGCTAAGGCAAGCTGTTTCTGAGAAATCATCGCTGATCAGCAATATGGCTGTTCAAATTGAAAAATTACAGCAGCAGCAGCTGGTAAGTCCCAAGGTCCATTTGATATAATAAACAAACATTAACATACTCAAATAACTTTTACACTTATCGCAATATACTACTTAAGCAGAGATAAGATATACTTGAGCGATAAGAATTATTTGTTTTGTTAGCGATTTTATAATATAAACTATTTCAAAATTTATAGCATTCTTATGAATATGTCCCCGATGTTGGAAATGCAGAGTCCGCAAAAAGTATACATAACGATGAAAAAGATTTGCAGCGACAAATGTCTGCACTATTGGCAGAGAACTTACAATTTAAGGACATGGTAAGTCCTGCTTATAAAAACAAGGTACATAGAGATTTAATAGTTCATATACCTTATAGAAAAAGACGTATATTGAAGAAATAGATTGCCTGAAGGTGAACTTGACCAGCGCTGAGGAACTAATGAAAGTCATGAGTGCGGACGTGAACGCATTGAAATCAAAAGATGCAGAAAAAGATGAGCAAATTACACATTTGAAAACTCAGATTGATATCTATCGACGTGATTTTGAAATGGAGCGTGCTGATCGTGAAAAGAATGCTGGCGAAAAGGAACAATATCTCATCGACCTACGTGCATTGCAAAGACGCAACCAAGAATTAATCGAAGCATTGGCTGAAGCACAAAAACCAAACAAATTCAGCTGCGGCCCATCGAGATCACCAACCAGCAGCTTGCGCCAAGAACAGAGACCAGTAAGAGTATGCAATGATAACCACTATATATACTTATACATTATGCTAATTCACTTTTTTATTCAGGTCTTAGATCCAACAGGTGCAGCTGCCAGGACAGCGGATCCTGCATTGCGATGTCCGATTTGCTCAAAACCATTTGCCGCATTATCTGTTTTACAAAGTCATGTTAATGATTGTTTGGATAGGAATTAAAGTTACATATGAATTACATATATTAAATATTATTTATTTTAAGTACAATATTTGTAAAATTAATAACTGATAGACACATATATTACAAGTTTGGAATAGTTAAAAATTACGTCAAAGTTTACTTTGTATGGGCGGCATATCCAGCGACCAGACTCGACACACTTCTTGGCTCGCAACTAGATTGTTTAGTACATTTATGTCTGTTAGATTGAAATTACGAAAAAGTAGAAATTATATTTACATAAATAATACTCGGTATACGCACCACTAGTCGTTGCGAATTCCTGTAGAGTTTGTCGTATATCGTACGTCGGTATAGCAGTATTTATATTTGGATAGACAACGTCATCATGTTTCATGTTGGACACGCAAACGCCGAGAATGCAGCCGTTCTGATCGAACATTGGACCGCCACTCTGACCAGACTGCACGCTCCCATCGGACATAATAGCGCCCTGATCACACTTGATAATACGCCCTTGGAATATGGAGGGATTGAAGTCGTACTTGAAGTTGAAGTTCACATAGTATGGAAAGCCGGCATTGTAAACCGTCTGCCCCAATGTAGCGCGATTACGTGCTAAGCGTACACAGTAATGCTTGGGAACATCTGCAGGTGCGGTGAGCAAAGCCAAGTCGTAAGGACGATCCTCAACCGGATTGCACCAAATAACATCAGAGTTGAATTCTCGATCGAAAGCTCGACACTGCACGAGAGAATTAAGCTGAAAATTTGATAATACTTTCTATGAATCTTATATGTAATAAGAACAAAATGTATAAATATTTACTTTGCCAACAACATGCGCGCAGGTAAGAATAAAACATTTATTATGGACTCTGATATAGGTGCCAGTGCCTTGGTGAGCAGCCGACTCAATCACTACAATTGAGCGTTCCCCTTTAATTAAAGAAGAAACAGCTGTTATATATATTTTATAATAGTATTCATTGCTACATACACGCAAAATTCGATTCCTCCCGTGGCAAATTAAACACGGTAATGCGCGTGCCAAGCTGCGCCATAAAATCCCTCACAAGATAACTAAAATTGGCAGCCAAAATCAGATTTACGTTTTCCTGTTCCCGCTGGAATGATGTGCATACTATAATGCCTATTAGTCGGCTAAAATGGAGGAAGGTAAATAGTGACTATCTATAAGTGAGTTGATATCTGGAACCCCTACAGTTTGTTGTTAAATACAGCTGCTCCTTCACAACCCAGGGGTAACGCATTTGATAGGCCAAACAGAGAATTGCCTAATACATTGGAGACCTTGCCAATGCTAATGGTTTTGTAGAAGTTCTCCAAGCCGAAGGGCGAGCACATGACTAAAACATCGTCCAGTGTGTGAATTGGCTGCAGGTAACGCAAATAGCTTGCAATGTGCTGAATGAAACTCTTGAAGGATTCACGTTCCATCAACTTCCTCATGGTCAGTACTAGAAAACTAGAGCGCAACACGTTTTGCTCATCCGAGTCTGCATTCCTCAATATCTTGTGTAGACTACGCGACACTTCTGAAGCACAAAATACATATAATGGTTGTGCCGTGTAGCGAGTGAGAATATGTGACGGATGAGCAGAATTTTGCTGCAGACTGCGATCGGGTACTGGGCGACGATGTCGATCAAAGGTCACCAGATAATTCAAACAGCGCAGTAGTTTTCCCTCTCTACAGTTCACGTCCTGTGCATCGACCAGATGGCACTGCTGTAAGCTTTGAATGAGTGTTTCCCCTTTACCCGATACGCGGGCAAAGGATTGCAGAATGTTTGCGCAGCTAATTATAATCTCATTGTTGATTATAACTGCCGATTGCTTGACTGACTCCTGGGTTGAATGATTGCTCACCTCCAGCAGTGCATGCCGTATTTTAAGCAACATTTCTAATAATTAAATACAACTAACACTCATTACGGCGCACAAAACAGCATTTAATTAATATATTTCTTTGTTGTCGAAAACAAACAATCGCAATACTAACTCACTTATGCGCTCTGCCACCAAAGAGGTTACACTCGTACGACCGTATAAGAGAACACAGCAATATTTGAGCTAAAATATTATCATCTGTGACGTCACGGGACTAAAAAATACCAAATTGTAACTGAAAGCAACAATGCAACAGCTGTTATCAATCAGCTGTACAAGCGAATAGCAAAACATTGAACATAACCTTAAATTAAGTTCCTTCTGCTGGCACAGCATAATTTTACATCTATGATAACTTTTGCAAAATGTTTACATTAAAATTTTGTATGCCACGGCCACGGCACAGTAGCTACTGCAATTTTAAGCGCAATTTCACGCACAAAAACCTGCTGGAGCTATCGGATCGAGGCTTCTTTCAGAGCATTTTCCCAGACACAGCAGCGTAAGTTAATAGATTATCGAGTTCTGAATTATTGTATGAGAATTACATTTGTTGTAGACCAAAAATAAAGGAGCTATTCACGAGATCATCACAAAGCATTTATGCTGGGTTTGATCCCACAGCGGACAGCCTGCATGTTGGTAATTTGCTTGTAATAATGGGCCTCTTGCACTGCCAGCGTGCCGGTCATAAGCCAATTGCGCTGGTTGGAGGAGCCACTGGCCTTATTGGTGATCCAAGTGGTCGTAAAACGGAGCGTAATCAATTGAGGGAGTCTTTGATTGACACGAATTTGCAAGCCATAGAGCGACAGCTGCGCAAAGTGTTCAAAAACCATGAGGATGCCCTTTGGGATACACGAAAAAACAAGCAAAAACTAGCGCCACTAACGTGAGTATTATATTTATATATGCAGAAATTTTATTTTATTTATATTATAATACAAATTTTGAATAGAATTGTTAACAATGCTGAATGGTATGAAAATCTAAATCTAATTGACTTCGTTGCCAACATGGGTCGACATTTTCGCATGGGATCAATGCTATCGCGATCCTCCGTCCAATCGCGTTTGGAATCAGAGGAGGGCATGAGTTTTACTGAGTTTACGTATCAAATCTTTCAGGCCTACGATTGGCTGCATTTGCTGCGTAACCACAATTGTTGCTTCCAGATGGGTGGCTCCGATCAAATGGGCAATCTAATGACAGGTCACGAATTGATAAGCCGGGTGGAGCGCAATCGTGAAGTGTTTGGCTTGACCCTGCCCATAGTTACGAATGAGGAGGGCGATAAGTTTGGCAAATCTGCTGGCAATGCAGTATGGCTAGATGAAAATAAGACATCGCCTTTTGCATTATATCAATTCTTTTTGCGTATGCCAGACTCCGAAGTGGAAAAACTGTTGAAACTGTTCACCTTCATACCACTGGCCGAGGTGGATCAACTGATGCGAGAGCATGCGAAAGAGCCAGAGAAACGTAAGGCCCAGACTCTACTGGCTGAAGACGTCACCTTGCTAGTTCATGGTGGTAAGTCTAAATTTGCCATTTTAAAATTTCTCTAATATTTTCTCTTTTCACGTACAGAGAATGGCTTAAAGCAGGCGGAGCGCGTGACCAATGCACTCTACAAGGGCAACGTTGACGGCCTGGCCGAGTTGAACTATGCTGAAATTAAACAAACATTTCAAGGAGCTGCCGTTGTTGACTTACTGACCGAACCGGGAATGTCCATATTGCAGCTGGCCATGAAAGCCAAGTGCTTTCCCACAGAAAGTAAGTTGTTGGCAAATATGTAATGCAAATACACACGTCTAAATAATTGCATTCTAGCTGATGCCGTGCGTATCATCAACGCGGGCGGTTTCTACATTAACCAAAAGCGCGTGCAGAACATTGCAGAAGTTATTACAACTGGCATTCACATACTCCGTAATGGGGTGTCTTTGTTGCGGGTTGGCAAGCGCAACTTTTACATTGTGCGTTGGCAATAGTTAATAATGTAAACAATTATATAATATTTAAGTTATATTATTTTAATTAAGAGTTTTCTACTAAGTATTTACATTATTTTGCTTTGGGTTTACGCCAGCGCTTGCGCGCCAACAAATCCTTGGCCTTTTCCTTCTTCAGATCTTTATCGTAGAACTTCCCACTCTTTGTAAATGTCTTCTGCTCGTTGCGCATCTCGGCCAACTTACGATTCTTCTGTTTGATAATGTTCTTTTTATTGGCCGACTTCTTTTTGCCCGCCTCCGATATTTGCACCTTTATTTTTCTTCCCTGCAGCTCGGTATTGTGCAATCGAAAACCTTGTTGGAAACCAAGTAAGTCCACCATTTCCACAAAGGCAAAGCCACCACGGCGCTTTTTAGGGATGCGTATGGATTTAACTGCACCAGCCACTGAAAAGTGTGACTCCAGATCGTCCTTTGTCGTTTCGAAGTTAAGATTGGTTACATAGAGTACATGTCTGTTCACTTTAGATGCACCACGAAGCAAGCTATTCAGCTGATCCTTGCTTATATGTCCATCTTCATGGTGTTCTTCCTCGGAGGCGGAGCCCTCACTCTCAGATCCCACACCATCGACTACTTGATCCACTTCTCCACCGTTCTCGTCATCTTGATGATTTGCTATGTCGTCATCGCTACTTTCCGAATCACTTGGATTTCTTGTAATTTCTTTGTCCACATAAGTACCTTCGAAAATTTCCTTACGTTTCTCGTCATCGAAATTCCCCAAAAGATCAGCAGAGTCATCATTGATTGTGCGGCGCACTCTTTCAGGCTTTACATGCACCTCCACCTCATAGTCACTGCCAGATTCGGAGTCGCCGTCATTGCCGGCCATTGCGCTGTGTATTTATAAAAACAAAAACTAAAACAATTTCAGCACGTGTGAAATGTCTGGATTCGTTGTGAATGGTTATTTTACATGCTTCCTCTTCTTACTAAACTATTGAAAAAGAAAATGATTGCGCGAATTTGAAATTTTTTTCAAATAAATTAAATAAACTTGTTTCATTATGTGCTACCACAATTGACGCTGATGTGGCTTTAATCTGTATTTTGGGAAGTCTTGTGCTTTGTTTTTCTTTCTTTAAAAAACCGGATACTTAACCGGCAAATATGTCTAATGCATTTGAAAAAGGAAAGAAATATTAATCAAACCGGTTCAGCTATATAAATCTTATGCAAATGTTAACATGATTTAATCTGATTTTTGATAATTAAGAATTCATTGCTCACATAGTAAAGAGTATATTAATATATAATTAAACTAATGAAGACATAAATATTATTCATAATATATGTTTTATTTCAGTAAATATATATTTAAATTAACTATAATCCAAAATAGAAAAGAACTTTATAAGAAATAAATCTGAATTATTGCTTCTTTGACGAAATAAAAATTCAGTAGTCTCGAAAGATTAACAAAAAAATTGACAAAATAAATTAAACAAATGCAGAGAAATTATTAGTTAAATGGCTGCATCGAAAAGTTTGTCTAATTAAAACAGATCAAGTTTGATTAAATTTAAGCAAGTTGTTGGGCAAGTCGCGAAATGTCATCTGACTTTCGGAAAAGTATAAAAACGTAGCGGAATTGAGGCTTTCATTAGTTGTTTCGCAGTCTGCTAACTAACAAATAAATATCCTTTCAACATGAAATTCGTGGTTAGTATTAATATTGCATAATAAATTTACTTTTTATAATTATTATTACAATTTATGTAGATTGTATTTGCTTGCTTTTTGGCTCTTGCCTTCGCCGATGTTCCGGTAACAGTCCAGGAATACAACGAAGTGAACCCAGACAGCTTCAAATACCAATGGGCAACTGCTGAAGGTACCAATGTCCAACAGGATGGTGTTCTGAAGGACCCTCACACCATTCTTGTTAAGGGATCATATGAATACGTTTCGAAGGAAGGGAAACCCATCAAGGTCACCTACACCGCTGATGAGAACGGCTACAAGCCCGTCGTTGTTCAACAGTAGATATGACTAAACAAGAATGTAAATCAAATAAATGCCATGAACATCTGAAATTTGACTGATTTAAATTTTCGACCGCACCTTTTGTAAATTGCTGTGAATGGTAAACTTTGCTTCTTTTTGATTGAGCAGTGATAGTAAACGCTAAAAAAGTAGGGGTAAAAATTTTGCAGCACTGCTGAACTTACTCTTGTTCTTTTTCGCAAAATTGTTTAAACGATTTTAAACAATTTTGTTTTGAATAAATAAAAGTTTTATAATTACTAAATACAGAATGGCTTCAGAGTCTGTAGAAATGGATTGTTCCGAAACCGATGAGGCAGCATCAGTTCAACCTTCAATTAAGGCTTCGGATTTGCCGGTTGAAACGGCAAGCACAGAGACAGAAGCAGAAACGGAACAGAAGGACGAGACAAAATTCGAAGAGATGTCTTTGGAGCCGTCGAACGCAGCTTCTCAGTCAAAGGAATCGGAGAAACCAGATGCTACCGAACAAGACAAAAGCATCACTGATATCACATCTGAAGAAAAAACAGAAGAATCATCAATTATTAAGCTTGATTCGGCTAAGCTGATTGAAACGGATTTTGATAGCAGTGTTGAACTAATCAGTAGCCCAATTTCCGAACAGATAGAAGCCGAAAACAATAAGGGAAACAAGTCTTCAATTGAGGAAAGTGATGCAGCAGTCGAAGGTGTTGGACCTTTAATGGATTCAACGGATGCAGCTAAGTCAACCGAAGATGATTTGGACAGCAGCATTGAACTAATCGAAAGTCCCGTCTTAAAAGAATTGACTGAAACGGATAACACCAAAGACAGTAAGGTGGATAGCGACAGCAGCATTGAAGTAATTAGCAGTCCAGGTAATACGGAAGACAACAAAAAGGAGACAACCGTATCCAAGACGAACTGTGAAGAGAGTATTGATAGTATTCCTAACAAAGATGGTATAGACATTGAAGGAAAGCAAACTATAACAAACAAAGATATCATAACAGTATCAAATATAAATACAAAAGATACCACAGAAATGACTGTCGAGTCGGATTCAGCAATGCAAACCAAAAGCACAATTGTAGAAGAAGAACCTATTACACCCAAATCGATAACAGTAGATGAGGAAGCGCAGCAAATCAATGAATCAAGCAATATACAGAAAGAATTGCTTATAGATGAACCCATGGAAACAGAGTCTTGCCAAGAACAAGTTGAAAGCATCTGCTTAGTCAAGATACAAGAAGAAGATTATACAGAAACGAAACCCGGGGATAACCGAAAAGAATCCGTTGACTATGAGGAGGATAACGAAATCTACTATAAGAAGGATTGCCTCAATTGCAATTGCGAAAAGCAGCACAAGCAATACGTGCGCGCTAGCTTGGCAGCTCTCAACTACTACAAGGTGCCTAGGAAGGCTCACAAGCGACAGTATATATGTATTGGTTGCTATGACACAGCCATTGACATGTATGAGGTGAGTAGATAAATAGAAATATGCAACTATATATCTAAAACCATCGAATATTTAGGATTATGCGGGTCATTTAGTGGCCAAGCAGCCGCTGCTGTTGCGCAACTTTAACCAGAGCCATGCAGACTTTGTAGCTCTAGATAGTAGTGATGAGGAGGAAGACGACAATGAGCAAAGTGAGTGTAAATAAATATCTTCTCATCTCTCAAAATATCTCATCATATATTTCATGCGTAGGCAAACCCGAGTTCTCGTCAAATGATTTAAATCTAATTGAAAACGAGTTAGAGGATGCAATAAAAACTGTTATAGATAAAGTGGAATTGGATAATCAAATGGCTTGGTCCAAGAGCATACTACAGGCCAAATCGCAGCGTATCTGCCAAGAAATCGATATGGCCAATGAGGAACTGGGGAAGTTGCAAAATATGGCAGACAAAATGCACTTCGCTTTGTACAGTTCCTGTCAAGTGGTGCACAAGCATTTGCCGCCACTTGATCTGTACCACAATTTGAACGATTATGTGGTGAGTACACGAAAAAATAAATAAATATTATTTTGAATACATATACATCATCATCATCATAAACCATATTTTGCAGCAAGTTCCACCAGCTGGTGAGATAGAACGTCCGCCAATTCAGCTAAACGAAACCTACTATGCTGTAAAGAACAAGCCAATTGCCAGTTGGGTCTCCGTCAAAGTAATTGAGTTCACAGAGAGCACTATGGTGGGCGGCAATCTGATTAAAAGCTACAAGATTAAATATCTGAATACGCCATATCAAATGGTTAAAACCATAACTGCCAAACACTTGGCTTATTTTGAACCGCCGCCGGTGCGGCTAACAATAGGTACGTTACCTAAACATGATTTTCAACTGTTTACAATATTCACTGTAATTTATCAACAGGCACTCGAGTTATAGCCTACTTCAATGGCAATACTTTATCTCGTGGCAAAGAAAAAGGTGTCGTCCCCAGCGCATTCTATCCAGGCATTATAGCGGAACCTTTAAAGCAAGCCAATCGCTTTAGATATCTAATATTTTACGATGACGGCTATACACAGTATGTACAGCATAGCGATGTGCGTTTGGTTTGCCTAGCGTCAGAAAAAGTGTGGGAAGATGTGCATCCAGGGGCTCGAGATTTTATACAAAAGTATGTGGAAAAATATTCTGTGGATCGACCAATGGTGCAGTGCACCCGTGGCCAGAATATGAACACGGAATCCAATGGCACTTGGTTGTATGCGCGTGTGATTGACATTGATTGCAGTCTGGTACAGATGCAGTTCGACGATGACAAGAATCATACAGAGTGGATTTATCGTGGTTCCCTGCGTCTAGGGCCCGTCTTCAAGGAGACACAGAATGCGTTAAACAGCGCCAATGCTATGCAACAGCATCGTGTGCCACGCGTGAGTTTTGCTAAAATATTAACAATTGCTATTATATTATATGGTCAATTATTTCTTCAGCGCACTGAGCCGTTCATTCGATATACCAAGGAAATGGAGACAAGTAGCAGACAGGTCAACCAGCAAATGCGCGCGATTGCCCGGAAGAGCAGCTCCGCACCGCAGAACCTAAATATGTCATCGTCATCATCTTCTGCAGCGGCCGCGGCCAACGCTGCTGCTGCTGCAGCTGCAGCCCGCAATACTGTTCGACATTTGAACAACTCCACCATTTATGTGGACGATGAGAATCGACCCAAAGGTCATGTCGTATACTTCACCGCCAAGCGTAATCTGCCACCTAAGATGTATACGCCACATGCTTGCACGCCGGCCTGTTTGTTCAAGATCATTCATCGCTTGGATAGCTACAGTCCGTTGGCCAAGCCATTGCTCTCTGGTTGGGAACGTTTGGTATTTAAACAGAAGGCCAAGCGAAATGTTGTCTATCGTGGCCCTTGTGGCAAGAGTTTTCGTAATCTGGCCGAGGTGCACACTTATCTACGTGATACAGAGAATGTGCTAAATGTCGAAAACTTTGATTTTACACCTGATTTGCGTTGCCTGGCAGAGTACTCCATTGATCCCACTATTGTTAAAGAAGCGGATATATCAAAGGGTCAAGAAAAAATGGCCATACCGCTTGTTAACTATTACGACAACACATTGCCACCGCCATGCACTTATGCCAAACAACGCATACCAACAGAGGGAGTGCATCTTAATCTCGACGAGGAGTTTCTGGTGGGCTGCGATTGCGAGGATGATTGCTCGGTATATATAACTAAGTTACCTTCCTGCAAACTAACTAACTATTTAACTTTCAGGACAAATCAAAATGTGCTTGCTGGCAGCTGACTGTAGCGGGTGTCCGCTACTGCAATCCCAACAAACCAATCGAGGAGATTGGCTATCAATACAAGCGTCTGCACGAGCATGTACCGACTGGAATTTATGAATGCAATTCGCGTTGTAAATGCAAAAAGAACTGTTTAAACCGTGTGGTCCAACATTCACTAGAAATGAAACTGCAGGTGTTTAAGACCTCTAATCGAGGTTGGGGCTTACGCTGCGTCAATGATATACCGAAAGGTGCATTCATATGCATATATGCCGGTCACTTGCTAACTGAAACAATGGCCAATGAAGGTGGATTGGATGCCGGCGATGAGTACTTTGCCGATTTGGACTACATTGAGGTGGCCGAGCAATTGAAAGAGGGCTACGAATCGGATGTTGAGCAATCCCCAACGGAAGAGGAAGAAGATACTTATGTCCCAGATCCGGAGGACGATGCTGATTTTATGCCTGCCAAGCATTATCAACCGCGCAAGAAGGATAAACTACGAGTCTCCCGCAGCCACTCCACACAATCCACTGAGCAGGAGTCGCAGGAGAGAGCTGTAATTAATTTCAATCCGAATGCAGATCTGGATGAAACAGTGCGCGAGAACTCAGTGCGTCGACTCTTTGGCACAGATGAGGCACCCTACATAATGGATGCCAAAACAACAGGCAATTTGGGTCGCTACTTTAATGTGAGTGCATGCGTAACGTTAGCTACCATCAGCATTAATTATTTTTATATATCATTCATACACAGCATTCGTGTGCACCCAATTTGTTTGTGCAGAACGTGTTTGTGGATACGCACGATCTGCGTTTTCCCTGGGTTGCTTTCTTCTCGGCCAACCATATACGCTCCGGAACCGAACTTACCTGGAATTACAACTATGAGGTGGGCGTGGTACCTGGCAAAGTTCTTTATTGCCAATGCGGAGCAGCCAATTGTCGAATACGCTTACTTTAAATTATATATACCTATATATGTATTTGGTATTTTTAGTTAAAAAATTAATTAAACGATTAATATTAAATCTGATTTATTTAAAATATTTTTTAAAAATTCAAAATATTTTTAACGTTATTCTTGTTCTTTATTTTATGAAATTCCTTTCAAACTGTTGTCGATGCAGCCCTAGCTTCAGTGCTGGTAAACGAATTGCTTAATGCTATTGAGACGTTACTCAGCACTAGTTAGAGGCCGATGCTGAAAAAGGCATAAGCTAAAAATTAAATTTCATGCGTGTAATTAAATTGTAGCCGTAATGTGCTCAATTGCAACACTATAACTGTCCAAGTTGTACGTGCAACTCGCGGCGCTTAAAATTTAGGGTGCGTGGCCACCGTACAACCGCACACACACAGTAAAAGCGAGTTCCGCCCTCGCTTACCCTTACGCCAATAAGAGAAAAAAATCGATTTTGTGATAGTGATAACAGCGCTTACGCTTAAAACAACGCAGAGGCAGGCAAAAATCGTGGCTTTTCTGCATATTTTTTGGGATTGAAGTGTGCACATAATATCTTCAAATCAGCGGCAATATGAATTTGGATTTTACTAAAGTGTGCGGCAAGCACAATCTCGTCTATGAGGCGTACTACAAACAGGTAACGAATCGTCCGCTGGAATTTGTGTGTGGCGGGTGATTTGCAACCCCCTTATTGATTTTTTTGCGCGCTTGTGCCTAATTTTTATAGATTGACCCAAAGGGCACTGGTGCCATTGAGGCCATGACGGCTGCTAAGTTCTTGAAAAAGTCAGGCTTGAGCGATGTGGTGCTCAGCCGCATATGGGATCTATCCGATCCGAATGGCAAGGGCTTTCTGGACAAGCCAGGATTTTTTGTTGCTCTTAAATTGGTATCACTATCGCAGGCGGGCCAGGTGGCCAATATGAACAACATCTACATGGATACGGCGAATCCACCGAAAGTTGTAAGGCTATTACACAACTGCTAACAAAAATACCAATTGTTAATCTGTGTCACATGCTTTGCAGGGTGAAATACCAAAGGCCATACCTACTCGCATACAAACAGTGCCAGTTGCTAGTGCAGGTGCCACAAGCGGGGATTGGACTATTAGTGTCATCGATAGACTCAAGTATGAGCAACTCTTTGAATCACTTAGTCCGCAGAACGGCATGCTTCCGGGTAACAAAGTGAAAGGCGTATTGATGGATTCTAAGCTGCCCATGAACATACTGGGCACCATCTGGGATCTAGCTGATCAGGACAAGGATGGCAATCTGGATAAGCACGAGTTTATTGTGGCAATGCATCTTGTTTACCAGACACTCCAGAAACGCACAGTGCCTAGTGTGCTGCCTCCGGAGCTGCGAAAGGCACCCAAACCTGCAATGCCACCGCCACCAGCAGTTGCTGCTGGAGTTAATGCTCCTATGCCACGTGCGCCCAGTGGAGAGGGTTTTGGCGATGGAGGCTTCGTAGCCAATTTTCCCAAAGATATTGCACCGCCGGCAGCTATACCACCATTGCCCGTTGCTGTGCCGCCCATGACACGCATTCCACCGGTCGGTGCCGTGAGCGCACAGCCACTGATACAAACTGATCCACTGATACCCATTGGAGCACCACCGTCGGTGACGGCCAACGCTGATTGGGTGGTCAGCGCAGTCGAATTATTACGATTCGAGGAAATATTCCGACAATCCGATTTGGACAAGGATGGCTTGGTTTCTGGTCTCGAAGTGAAAGATATATTCATTAAATCGGGTATACCACAACGCAGTCTCGCAGATATTTGGTAAGGAATGCAAACCGTTGTTTGTAAAATATTCTAAGCATTATTTTATTAATATTAATCTATAATTTCTTTGAAAGGGCACTTTGCGACACAAATCAATCGGGCAAGCTGACCGTGGAACAATTCGCTTTAGCCATGTGGCTAGTGGAGCGAAAACAACGTGGCGTAGATCCGCCACAGGTACTAACAGCTAACATGGTGCCGCCGTCTATGCGTTCAATAGTGTCTGGTGTAGAAGTGCAGCCGCAGGAGACAAAGCCGACATACTCAAACCCCGAGTTGGAGATGATATCCAAAGAGATCGAAGAACTGGCACGCGAGCGACGTGCCCTAGAAACAGAAATAGCACAAAAGGAGGCCGATGTGCGTATCAAGAATGGTGAAGTGCGAAGCCTGCAGGTCGGTAACTCATAAAACATATAGAATTTTTATATAGATTATTTATAATAATAAAATCGTTTTATTGCAGAGCGAATTGGATACCTTGACGGCAACGCTCAAGCAGCTGGAAAATCAACGTGGCGAGGCACAGAAACGTCTCGATGATCTTCAGGCTCAAGTAGTTATCGTTGCATGATCTGAAATTTATCTTAAATTGCTTGAATTTTGGGTTTAACTGCTAGCTTTACTTACTATGTGCCTTTGATTTTAAATGGGTTTAATTTGAATATGATTTTAATTTCCCTTTTCTTTATCATTTATGTTCCTCCACTGTTAACCCAAATTGGTACGCAATTATTTTACCCAAATTATTCATACTAAACTGGTGAATGCACTTAAAAAACTATATAACCATACGTTACGTTAAGGTTACCCAAAATCTGGCCGTGTTGGCCAACGTAAGTCTTGACATAACCCGCACCAGCAATCAGGTTTGTTTATTTATTATCGTTTGTGGTTTATGTTTGTATGTTATGTTTCTGTGTTTATGTTTAGTTTATTTTTATCTTACCAAGAATCGAGGTGCATTAACATTTAATTTAACTTGTGATTGTTCTGTTTGTAGGTGACTAAGATACGGGATCAGTGTCACAAGCAAGAGGAGACCATCAACGAACAGGAAGGTGAGCTAAATGCCAAGCGCTCAGAGCTGCAGAAGCTCAAGGATGAGGAGTCATCTCTACAAAAGGAATACGATAACAACAATCGAGAGCTGTCCAAGCTAACAAAACATCTGCAGAACACGCAGCTGCAAATTAGTTCGGTAAGTATGATTATATATATAAAATATAGCAATATATATTTCTCAGTTATAACCGATATGTTGTTGATTATAGGTACGCTCTATGGTCACCCAGCTGATGGAAACACAGCGGCAGATGACGGATGCCTTGCTCATTTGTCGCGCTGCCATGGAGAATCAAAATGCTGATCTCGTCTCGGAATATCAGCTGAAAATCGAGCCAGACTTTGATGATGCGCGCAAAATAATGCAAAAAGAAGTCGAAATGCCCAAAGATGATCCATTCCAGGAGAACAACAGCGGTGCTGCCAACAATGCTACCAATGGCTTTGACAACGATCCCTTCAGCGGGCAGGTTAGCAAGCCAACGCCCGCTATCACCGGCGGCTTTGATGATAGCTTCAATATGAGTTCCGGCTTTGACAGCGGCTTCGATGCCTTTGGTCAGAGCGGTGGTAGCGGATTTGGGCAAACGCAACGCGATCCGTTTGGTGGCGATGCGTTCGGCGCAAACAAATCAAATGCCATAACGCCAGAGGTGAGCTCTCTATGCTAAACTATAAGATTAAATGTATTTCAAATATGTATTATATATGCAGCCTGGCAAGGATGATTTTGGCAGTGATCCGTTTGCAGCGCTACACGCACCCACGGGTCAGGGTCAGGTGCTCAGTCCCAATGCGCAACGTTCTGGCCCACCACCCAGACCAGAATCACCTAGTCCAGCTTTGCCACCAAAGAAATCCAAGGTGCCGCCACCTAGACCAGCTCCACCACGCGCATCACAGGTAAATACAATAGATTCAGTAAATTGTTTGATACACTAATAAATACCCTCACAATTATAGCCTACAGGCGGCTTCGGCGCTGGCGGTGGAGGCGGAGGATTTGCTGATTTTGACGACTTTGACAATAAGGTTGGTAGCAAGTTTAATGTACGTTGGGATCGGTGGTAATGCATGCACATCGCACCGCCGCTACAATTTTTTTGTTAACTAGTTGAAAGTGTTTTCACAACTGTTAAGTTTTTGTTTGCATTAACATGGCATTGTATATGCTTGTATATATATATATCTACGATTCAATTAATTCCGTTATTAATTATTATCACTAACCCACCTTTAAATTTTTTTGTAGTTGTGTTAATTTTTAATTCGACTAAAAACACTTAACAAATAAACAACATTTATGCACTCGAAGATTTTTTTGTTTAAGTAGAACTTGTAATTTTATAATTTGGTATTAATTATATTGCTTATTGATATGGGCAATAATGCAAATGCAAGAGGTATATATTTGATCCTTAAACACATTGCCTTAACTCTGCTGCCCGTACGAAACTAACTATTTGCTTTCATCTCTTGCGATTCTCTATTTTCAGTGAACATCTTAATAATAATCATATTTCAATAAATTCATATAAATATATATATATATAGATTTATATATATATAGATATAATATAATATTAACAGAGACATGACACACACAGACACATACTCAGTCAACAGTTGAGCCTAGCAACAAATTTGAAGCGTACAAAGCCTAATTGCGTATACTATATAAACATTGCATATAAAACCCATATATCAGAGTTCGATCTGGCTGAATATTCGTATTTGTATTGCACACATATGGCCGTTAAGCATACTCGCAGTTTTTCATGCCTAATTAGATAAATGTACTAAATCCAATTCGAAGAGGATTAAATCGAAACTAAACTCAATCAATTGATAAGTCAAGAATCCAAAAAACGAAACCAAAAAGAAAAAGTTATGTCGTGTTTAATGTAGTCAAAGTGTTTAAAGTTTAAATTTAACTAACGTCACACTATGAAATGTTGTGCATTATTGTATTTAACTTATATTTACTTGAGATTTCTTTTCGTTGAAAGACCAAATAATCATACATTGCATACTATTATGAAGCATATTTGTAAAACTCTTAAGTGCACGCCGAACCGTTTAGTTTGGATGAAATGCTAGTCTCAAAACGATTGATAGATTCATATATAACTCAATTAAGGAATTTAAATGCAAATTGTTGTTGTTTCTGCATATAATACTAAAGTTTATAGCAATTATACAATACACATACATACACATACACAGACAAATATATATATATATATATATGTATGTATTTAATTGCTGACCGACATCTCGACATAAGTGCATATATACAGCCTATGATCCACCATATATAAATACATATATATATAGCTCGAATTTCATTAGCCTGTTACTTCCAAGATGATTGCTTTACTGTTTATTAAATAATTTTCCAGAAATGGAAGTTAACTTCAACTACTCGTGTACTCGAATTGCATTCCAACTGACAGCTATAGAATCAGCCGATTGTAGAATCAAATTGTTAATACCTTTAAAAGACACGTTGCCATCGACTAGGTGTAGTAGGAGCTATAGGATCGAATAAAACTTGTTTTATTCGCATGCACTCTGGATAATTGGTAAACGATAAATTATATAGATAATCTAGTCCCACATCAAACTCTTGTTTGTACAATATGTTACGATATTTGTTTTGAATGACATACATATACATGGAAATATATATATGTATATATATATATTTAGTACTCTATATACAACCTCGAAACTGTTCACATACCGAAACCTAAAGCTTCCCGTACATTGATTTTAATGTTTAATACATACATACTTATACATATAATGGGTACCCAAACTAACGTGTAACACCATCAAGTTTTGCATTAATTAAACAACCAAAATATCTAAATATGTTCGACATCATTAATAATAATACATATAACAAATGAGTTATGATAAACAAAAAATATAACCATAACGAGAGAATAAAAAAACATTTTTGTCGCATCCGGTTATATCAGCTTTGTTTCATGCAGGTCTCCTTGCCCTACTGATCTCTTCCACAGCAGCTATACCCGATTATATATATTATAATATATAATGCTTAACGTTTTCTTTTTTTATTACTTATGGTTTTTGGTATATTTGTATAATTCATTGATTTAATAGTTTATTTTCTCTCTTTTTTTAAATTAATTTCATTTATGTTTATTTTTCCTTCCACTCACAAAAACACACCGATTTTTTTGCTCATTGCTCACGCCCACTGACTCAGCTACAAAACATTCCAATCGGTAACCCAAATACAACCACGCCCACTCCGGCGTTAAATGCCACGCTGCTCGATAGCTTCTCGCTGTTTGATGATCCTCAAAGCCAGAGTAAGGCAGCCAGCACTAGTACACCAACACTGCCAACACTGCACCCACAAGCCTCCTCCCACACACTGCTAACGACATCATCGGCATCGGCATCGGCATCGACATTGGCATCAGCATCGACATCAACATTGACATCAGTATCAGCATTAGCATCTGCATCAGCCTCCACAGCAATCAGCACAAATAACCAACATTTGTCGCGTTCCAATACACCGCTGCAGACACAGGCCACAACGGGAAAGGCAATGGGAACGGGAAGCGGATCAGCATCATTAGCGGGCCTCTTTGATGCCTTTGGCGGCGGCAGCGGTAGCGGCACCGTCAGTAGTAGCAAACCGGCTGTCACGCCAGTTCCTGCTGTTATACAAGGACCGACAGACTTTAAGGATGATCCCTTTAAAGACTATCGCTACGAGGATCCATTCAATATCAAAGATCCCTTTGCAGACGACGATGAGAGCACGTCTGCAGGTGAAGCCAGCAAGAAGAACTTTGCCGAGGACTTCAGCTCGGAGGGTATGTTTTGCAAAATCTTATAAAATACCTTTGTATGCACTAATCATTCTATTTCATCTTCAGATGAGCTCCCCTCCAAAGCTGTTCCGAACAATAACAAGTCAAAGACGGCCACACCGCTCAGCAGCGAATTGTTGCAACAATTTGATGCATTCAATATGAATGCCAGTCCTGCACCTTCACATCAATCGGCCACATCAAATCCGAAAGCACTGGATGCTTTTGCCGACTTTGATGACTTTGCGCTGGATAAACCGGCAGACGCTGGTGAGGCGACAAAAGGAGCCACGAAAGCAAATCTGAACAAACTCAATGATTCCTTTTTTAATGCATTTAATGACAATTTCAATGACAACAACTTGAACGTTAACAACTCCAGAAACAACGAACAAACTAAGGTCAAGTCAAATGTGGCTGCTTTTGATGCATTCGCTGTTCAGAGCTCAACGACTAAACCGGACGCAAAACTCTTTGATGCATTCAATGATAACTTTGAGGACAGCTTTGGACCTGCTAAGCCTGCAAACTCGACCACACTGGATAATAACTTTGCTAAATTTGATGCTTTCGATGCTCACAACTTCTCCAACGACTTTGGCAAAAGCCTTGACGACAGTAATGCAAACAAGAGCAAACACAATGGCAGTGGAAGTGCCAGTAAGAAAAGCAAGGAATCCCTGACCAAAAAAGATAATGAAAAGTTTGCAGCGGACTATTCAAAGCCCGAGAGCTATGACGCCGATCTGGAGGAGGCACTAAAGCGCAGCATGCTCGACAATTGAATCACTTCGCTACCCAAAGCAGATATTAATGTGATGTTGCATACGAACAATCTTTCTATTAGCGACTTGCATGTCCGCACTAAACAGCTATATATTAATTAGTATAGCTAAACTGCGTTTTAAAGCAACTTTCCAAACTGTACAATATGAATGCTTTCAATTCTTATAGTTTATTTGGTGGCTACAATATTGCAATAGTCATCATGTATCAATACATATATATTCCCTAGTGTATACAATGCAGAAACATTGATTGTCTAATGCGAAAGCAAACAAACCGAAAATGCTGGTATTATATTCATTATATCATATTTAATAGTTTAAATGTAATCGACATACTCGTTAACGTGTTTCTAATAACGCGTTTGCGTTATGTATGTACACCAAAACTCTATGAATAAACCAAGAGCAATATATTAAACGCCTCTCGCTCACTAATACAACTGTAGCCGAGATCTGAGTTCTGCGTTCTGAGCTATAAGCTCTGAGCTCTGAGCTCTGGGTACGATTTGTTATACTCTCGCTCTCTGGTTTCATTCAGTGAACGCTCTTCGCGTACATTTGTTTCGTTTCGGTCTTTCAGTCACGTTTCCGAGTTCAGTGCGAGCGGTCATTGAAAAAGAACTTGTTGCGCCTTATATATAAATATATATAGATTATGTAAGTATATTAGTCCATATGGATTTGGATGCGCAAAATCCAAAAAACAACATTCAGAGAGGGAACTCCTATTGTCAGCTTATATACTACTTGTTTATTTGCTTTGTTCTCACGACAATCACAGACACACACACCCATACACACACGCGCGCGCACTCATGAACATTTAAACGCTATAAAAACAATTTGCCGGCACTCTTAATGTATGTGACTTTAAAATAACAAACAAGGCGCGATCTGGCAGTATTTTTCCTATTAGCCTGTGAATGTGTCATATCTCTGTGTGCACACATATATACACACACATATATGTAAGTGTGAGCGTACACAGTCTGCCCCTTACTAATTAAATTTATATTGTTTGTGCTGCGCTGCAAATTTACATATGTATGAATATAGTAGTGTTAGTATATCAAGCGAGTGCCGGTCAGATCCCTCGCAGATAACAGATACAGCCTATAGCTTTGTACAGGTATACTTGTGTATATACAGTGAAAGCTCACTTAACGAACTAACGTATATATCTAAGTAGTGCACAGAGGTCGAATGTGCGCTGCAGCTATTCATGAAACAGAGCTTTCACTGTATGCACTCTTGTTATTGGCTTATCATTTCGTTGTGTGCTATCAGTTTTTATTGGTGGCCCACAGAGACAAGGCATATACATATGTGTTCGTTAGCATAGTGCAGGTACTACTGTTTGATTAGATATGTGAGCACGGCAAACATACGATGAGCTAATCGCACATGGGAGGACAACTTTAATCTAATATTATTTCAATGACTTGCAGCTTGAGCCATGTCGAAGCCAGCCCTCTACTATGCCACACTGAGTCCGCCCTCGCGCGCTGTCTTGCTGACGGCGAAGGCAATTGGACTTGAACTTGAACTGCGGTAAGTGCAGCCTACACCCAATGCATTTAGCCAATTAATAAATTGTCTTCGTTTTGCAGCCCAATTAACCTATTGAAAGGTGAACATCTGACGCCAGAGTTTCTAAAATTGAATCCTCAGCACACGATTCCCACATTGATCGATGGCGATGCCAATATCATAGACTCGCATGCCATATGCGCTTATCTGATCGAGAAATACGGCAAGGCACATGAGTCACTGTATCCCAAGGATTTGGTAAAGCGCGCCAATGTAGATGCACGCCTTCACCTGGATTCTGGACACCTGTTCGCTCGTTTGCGTTTTCTCTATGAACCCGTCCTCTACTATGGTTCCACTGATTGCTCAGTTGATAAAATAGCCTATGTGCAGAAGTGCTATGAGATACTAGAGGGCTTCCTCAAGGATCAGACATACTTGTGCGGCAACGAGTTGACTATTGCGGACTTCTGCTGTGTGGCAACCGTGACATCAGTTAACGATGTGGCGCCCATTGATGAGTTCAAGTTTCCCAAGGTGCACGCCTGGCTAAAGGCACTTTCTGAGCTGCCCTACTACAAGGCCACCAACGAGGAAGGTGCTGAGGAGCTGAAGGCACTCTTCAAGACCAAGCTAGCTGAGAATCGCTCCAAGTAGTTGCAGTTAATTATATTCTACATATACATATAAATATTAGCCGGCATTAACTGGCTTTTCATTGATCAAGTTTGTAAGTTTTTGACAAATATTTTAATTAGAGTATCTTGGATAAATAAATTACAATTTTTTTAATTATTTCATTTACCCGAGAAATAGCTGTTCGATAGTTTTATATTTTATAAATATAAATTGTGCATGGCTTAATGTAATCGGTGAGCCGGAAAATGTAAAATAATTTATTGTACAGCATACTTTTTGGCATATCAAATTAAAGGAACGAAGTGATTATTGAAACTAATCAGAATAATTAAAAATTAATTGCATACTCTTATGCTTGCAATACAATCGAAAAAGTAGTGCATACTTTTGGGCTCGCGAAACTATTGACTACAATGCATATTTCAAAAAATGAATTTTTAAATGTGAATATTTCGAATAAAGACAGTCCGATTTTGGAGTATTATACCTTTTCGTACTCGGAAGAACGACGATTTTCGATTGGCATTCAAAAAGTTTACTTTTGAGACATGACCATTTTCGACAAAAAACGTGATGGTTAGCTCATGTTTTTTGCCAAAAATTCGACTTGTTCTGAGTTAAATTTTTTTGATTGGGGTCGATTTTACAAAGTTCCACGTTTTCAGAAATGTGAACATTTCCACAATTGCACTTCAATTAGCCGAGATATAACAGTGAAAACCTTTCAAAATTGACTTTTAAGACAGCAACTTTCGACCAAAAATGTTTTACTGCCAAAAATTCGACTTGTTCTGAGTTCAATTTTTTTTATTGGATTTTGATTGATTCTACAAAGTTCCACGATTTCAGAAATGTGAACATTTCCAAAATCGCATTTCCATTACCCGAGATATAGCAGTGTGAAAACCTCCCAAACTGGCCAAAGCCCAATAAAGTAAAGTGTTTATTGTTTATTTTTTTTTTATTAATACACATACAATTAAATCCTATTATATTATGTCTTTATTACATACAATGCACATACACTTTTATCCCTTATTATATTACGTCGTATTACATAGAATTTACATACTACAATATTGTAATTATATCTTATATTACATTTAGCAACAATATTCTTAAAGGTACAATAACGGAAACGGAAATCGCCCTGGGATAGACCGAAACGGCATTAAAGGCAGATCGGTGCATGGGTTATCTCTTCATGTTTTGGGGAGTAGGTTTTTGGAAATTCAAGGGTTCGTCTTTTACTTTTTCCTTTTTTTGTCTTTTTTCTTTAAAGCAAAGCGCGCTTTGTACATATTTAGAGGTATGTACGCATCCACTAGTGAAGGGGAAGGGTCATGGTTACGGGGCAAGGGAGAGGTCCTTTAACATTGAGTAAAATTCATGTGATGCTTTTAAACATAATCTACATATATAAAATATAAATATAAAAAACTGGTATCACGAAACCAAAGTATTATAAGCTATATCTACAGAATGAAGAATACAAAATTGCTTGAAATATCCACCATCGACCCCGTCGACCAGAAGCAGCTGGGGATGGAGATAATGATGGAGAGTAACAGCAACTAGTTCGTCTCCCCAAACAAGAACCACCTTTTTGTAGGGCGCGGGCAAGCAACGACAAAGGCGCCACCGGCGCTTGTGAGGAATGAAAAGTCAATGAACGACAGCACTTCAACTGCCTACAATAGGCGTATAAAATATATATAAATGGGTAAACAGGCTATCACGACGCACGCTGATGCACAACAGTACAGAACAACAGCACACACTCTATTACATAGTGTGTGTGTGTGTTATTTTTTATGTGAGTGTGTGCGCTTTGTCTCAGTTCCTAATCTCGACGCAATAAGAAACGTTTAATGCTCTCTGGCAGTGGCAGCCGCGCAATGGCGCCGGTTGCGATGTGCTCCAGTATAACATTGCGACAAGCACTTTGCAAAGACAGTACTAAAAAAGGAAAGTAATAGTTTTAATTGAACAAATCTAATTGTAAAAAAAATCTGATTACTCACTGCCTTCCAATTGTATGATGCGTATTTGCTTTGTTGTGCCATACACATCAATGACAACATATAAAGGTGAACTATTTAATGGTATTTCCTTTGAAACTGGACCCTTATCCACACCATTAATAATGAAGTGCAATTCGCCTTTGGATGCATCGGTCTCTGTGGGCACGTACATGATGCCAATGCGTGAGCCTCTATCAGTGAGCAGTATATCCGAGTTTCCATTGTCCATAGAGGGACGCAACAGTCTCTTGGGCAGCAAACCACGCGGCGTACGCACATGCGTTGCATCGCCAAGTAGATTACCTAAGGTATAAAGCAATTAATGATCTAGGTCAGTTTATGAGCTCACTTCTACTCACGCTGAGGCGGCTCATTGGATATGAGTTCGACATTTTCACCGGCTTGCTCTTGACGTTGATTTATCTCAAATTTTGAGATCGGATATATCCAACTGTTCCCCAAATTGGCCAAGTCGGGCAGCGCAAAGTGCGGCAATCCTTCGCTTCGCATGCCAATCACGTTTGGTGTCAGCTCCGTCAGGCCCAAACGCATGTGACCTGACCATCCACGTTCAATTTTTTCAATCTCTACTAGAAATATTTCACCGGGCGCCTAAAAAGAGGTGCATGAAATTAATCAATTAACATTCACGGTTTGATACATTTGCACACACATACACTCACGCACACATATATACATCCCATATAGATACATAGAGATTAACGATGCTTACCAGCGGACGCTCGGAGAAGGTGAGTGCATCGGCGAAGCTAGTGCGACGAAAGGCGACTGTTGCATCGTCATCTAAGCGTATATTGGAGCCATGGTATGGATGAAACCGAAAGAGCTGACGTTCCCACACACCAGCACCAGTTGTTGCCATTTTTGCATCGTTTACATTTGCTGCGGCATCGATTTGTTCTCGGTCAGCCTCGTTGTTGCCGGCAAAGTCGGCTAGATGCGGCGCCTGGTGGTTGTCATCAACGGCATCCATATTTTAAAGTATTGTTTATTTCTACCATATGTATTTTTTATTTGTGTAAATTTTAAGTTGATCAGAAAGTGACATGCGGCAAGTGTTGAGTAACGTAAAGCCAGCTACTATTTTTTCCTGTGTTGGTAAACTCACATTTTAACTTTGACGTAACAGCGAACAGCTGATTGCAGCGGTAGGCAACGAGCGAAAAATAAGGTAAATTAAAATTAAATTCTAAATATTGAAAGAAATTGTAATTAAAAATATTTAATTACAGATGCGTATACCAGGAGCACTCTATGCGGCACGCGGGCGTGCGCCACAAAACGAAAAGGAAGTGCCATTTCAGGAGGTTTTGCCACTGCGACTAAAGAACACAGTCAGTGGAAAGGCCGACTCTGGTTCCGATGTAGCATGTCTGCAAGAAATGGGTGTGCTGTTTGCCTGCCTCAAGGATAATGAGTTCGTGGAGAAGTATTGCCACAAGGAGATCAGTCAGTTTCAGAATTGCTACAAATTCTATATGGATCGCAAATTTGAGGCGAAAAAGACAGTCAACCAAGGCATTGTGCAACCCGGCAGCAATCTAAACTACAGACAGCTGAATAAATACATGAGGCGCTTTCCCAATCCACAATAGTTCTTCAATAGTGCCCAATGATTTGTTAAGCATTTTAATATATATGCAAATTATTTACAAAGTCTTTTTATTTTTTTGCTATTCATAATCTGTTTCAGTAGACAACGTCCGCATCTCCCAGACCCGCAGAGGATTGACTCACAGGTGAAGGTTGACTCAGCACGAAGCTCGAAATATTTCGCAAATTGTGAAATTGTGTGTGCTGCTGTTGCTGTTCGTAGATCTCCGCATCATTGGAGGCATACGACTTGCAATTGAAATGCTGCAGTGACTTGCGCGGCAAAGCAAGATTAATGTGCAATGGAAAGCCACCATGCTCCCAAGTGTCTGTCAACAGGGACAAGCTGCGATTAGCTTCCAGTACGCGAGCACGCTGATAATTAAGTCTCTCCTGCTGCAGCTCAGACCACTGCTCCTGTAAAGCAAACAAGTCTTCTGTATAGATCTCTACAAGTACTCCGTTATGCTACTTACAAATCGTGTACCTAAACGGCCAAAGTACTTAATCTGTTCCTGCACATTGAGCACCTGCTGCATATAGAAATCGCGCGCCTTTTCCACGCCATCCAGGCCAAAGAGCAGCAACTCTCGCTGCTCTTCCAGATGTTTCAGTCGCTTTAGCATATTATAGTCAATGCCATGCTGCAAGGTGTGCCTGCGCGACTCTCGTCGCTTGTTATTGGATTTCTTGGGGGGCTGCGCCAATGTTAAAGCACCCATCGTGTAGTCCGTTGCCGAGGTGGAGGAGGAACCACCATCGGCCGAGCCACGATGTTCGAATTGCTCGCGTGCAGTCTTCAAACTTTTCTGTTCGCTGTGCATGAGACTCAGCTGCCAGTTCTGTAGCGCATTGCGTATGTCAGCCTTGGCTAATGGAGCAGCTACTGCAGATTGACGCGGTGGCTTTGGCGGTGGTGCGGGCGTACTATAATCCACTTCATGTTCTAGCTCGGGACTGAGCTGTGAGCGTGGATGTATCTTGGCCATGGGCGCATTGCTGTCCAGCCCCAGACCGAGCAGCTGCGGCGCCGATGGCGGACGCGGCGGCTTGGTTATCTTATCTTGGATTTGTAACTGCTGTAGATGTTGCGTCTGTTGCTGCTGGTTGCGCAGCAGGCACAGCTTCAGTCCTGCACAGAACCGTTCGAAGGTTAACAGGCCGCTTGGCGGTGTAACGCGCCGCAAGGAATCCAGCACACCTTGAGGCAGACCCTTTGAGCCATCGTCCTGCCAGCCCTTCTCAATGTCCGCAAAGCATACATAGCCGCTCTGCTTGTCATCCAGAATGTCGAACAGCTTTTTCATGGAAAGCACAAACTGCTTGGGCAGCGCGTCCAGCGAACTTAAGCTGCCGCTCTTGTTGGATAGCATCTTCTAAATTAGAAATTAGTAACAAAAAATAAATAAAAATAAAAACAAAAAATGGAAAGCGTGCATAAATAATAAGCATATATCACAGATTTCGCCCACACTATTTGCGCTCAATGCATATTTATGAATAATCATAACGAAAGACTTGGGCAACGAACTAAGACAAAGATGCGAAAGAGCGGCACATTCGAAGCTTTGTTTATATACAAACATTTAAACAATTTGTGGCTAAGTAACTCACTTGCTGGCTGCTGGTTGCTGATTGCGGAAACTGGAAATGCGATTCTGTGGCAGCCTCTTGAGGCCGTTCGTCAAGGCTTTGTTTGGCTTGCACAATTTGACTTTACTTGAAATCTTTTTTCTTTTATTTTGCAGCTATGTAATGCAGCTAGAGGAGCGGGTAACACATCCAAACCCAACCAACTGGTTGGGCAGACTGCAAAGCCGCGCTAACCAAAGCGCACGCATGCGCAACTGGTTGAGTGGCTGGCGGGACAGGTTTTCAATTTTAGTTTAGGGAAACACACACACACACACACACACTCTCTCTCTCAAGCTACATCAATACCAACAGCAGAACGCGTGCCATGGGCTAGCTGTAGCTATAGCTGTATCCCCCCTGGAGCAGAAAAATCACAGTGGTACAATTATAGCAGAAATATTTATTAGTAGAAATTCAATGCGTATTCAGTCAAGGATAGCTAATTGCTTACTTAAGCACACACACACATATAATTGTATACATATATATGTGTATATGTATGCATGTATGTCATGTATATTCATGTATTTACTTGCAAGAAATGCAAACTCTGCGCAGTCCACATGGTTGGATCGCTAGAATGAGCATTTCATGCCACACGCTCTAAATGCTAAATGTGTGTTCGGCTTATTCTAGTTGTCTACAAATCGGCGACGGACTTTCGGCGCACGTATTTGGCGAAATAGTCGGGACGCCAGCATTTGCAGGAGCCGGGTATCAAGAACCAATCGTAGTAGAGCCGCACCTGGAAGCAGCCCAGCTCATCGTGTCCATCGCAGTGCGCATCGGCTGGAGCACTTTGGGCACCTGCACCCTGGACACCTGTGCTGCCATCGGAGGCATTGGCCACGCCGGCACGCTTCTGCAGATACTGCTGATAGGCCTGGAAATCCTGCACAGATGGAGCTGGCGTCGTTGTGCTGCTACTTGGCACCGTATCCTCGGCATTGGGATAGAAAATCTCAGCGACCAGCAGACTGACCCAGCGTGGCGAAGACAAACAGCCGCCATCCAGATAGTGGCAGCGTGCCTGAATGCAGCGCGTCACCTCCACAGTCTGCGTGAAGTAACCTTCATAGGGTATCTGAACCACATAGCGCCAGGCGCCTTGATAGTTCTTGGCAAAGACGGGCGTGGCATACTCCACCTTGGCGGGGCAGGGTGTAGGCGGTCCCTCATAGCGTATGGGCCCCACTTCCTCGCGACGCTCCGCCGTCTGCGCAGCGGACACAGCGGGGCTGGTGTCGCCCTGAATGGCGCGATACAACGTGCAGAAGCTGTAAATGAAATCAAGAATCGGATGTGATGAACTATGTATAACTTGAAGGTTCCAGCAAGTGAACTTACACTCCACCTCCATCGCAGAATTTACGTGGCTTACGTTCCTCAACGGCGCGTCGTTGCTCGTGCAGCTTCTTCTGCTGCTGATCTTCCTCGTCCAGAGCGGGATCAAAGTAGCTGTACTCATTGGACACCACGCCATCCGGCAAGCTGCGTGTGACGCGTGTGGCATAATGCCGATCGATATTGTTATTGTCCAGCTGATCCACCGGCTCATCGCGTATAATCTGTGTTACCTTGGGCAGTGTATCGTCCGCCTTAAGCACGGGCAACGTCTTGGACAGAAACTTCAGTGTCTGATTGCGTATCAGTTCGCTGAGAGAAGGCAACAGTTGAAGGTACATGTAAATGGGTAAGGCTAAGCTTTCACTTACAAGGGATATGGTTCCCCAAGGACATTCTGACCCAACGGATTCTTGGGTATTTGTCCCTTATTCAAATCGCCGCAAATGTTGTGTACAGACACCGCCGACTTCTTGCCGGTGGCCACATCCTTGCAATCCGCATTGATGAACGTGTACGGCGGTGGACGCACTCGTGGCGGCACAGCATTCGGAGACTCAACAAATGCATAATAACCCTCTGGCGGCTCCTCGCCGTAATCTGTTTGCGATTGCGAGGCAGACTGCGCTGTCGACAGCTGAGCGAGCAGCAAAAAGCTGAGTATTTTCTAAAGATGAAACAAGTTTAGACACATAAATGTGTTATTTATATCTTTTTTATGTTCAGAAAGAACGCGACAGCATAAATCAAATTAATTGCTATTTGAATGGCTGGCATTGTGGCATTGGTCATGGCCCCTGGCTCCATACTCCGCAATGCCCCAATGGGCACAAAGACGCGCTCTCAGCCAACGTTTGGCGAAAGCGCGAAAGTTGTTCGCCAGCATCAAAATAAACAAACTCAAACAACAACAACAACAACGAATGGCACTGACCAAGAGTGTGACTTTTGCATCTTAATCTCATTGTGGGGGTACTTGAGGAAAAAACTTTCCCTGAAATTCTGTCAGCTTCTTTATTTTCCTCTTCTTTCTCGTCTCATTTTGAATGAAATCAAAAGTTTCAGAATGTCTCAAGCTTTTCGGGTCAAGAAGGTGACTTTGTTTTTCCCTCACATTTTGGTATAACTGGGCCAACACTTTGGGAATCTTAACGAAACCCAACAGTGCGCAACAACTTCGTATGGGATGCGGGTGTTCAGCTCTTTTGTGCTTTGCATCTCGTTCGTGACATGATTCACAGCCACACAATTCGGCATTCCGAAAGAGCGAAAATTGGGTCAGCCACGGTCGGCTGTTGATTTTGTATTCTTTTTTTTGTTTTTGTTTATTCTAATGAGCAATGCGTTGTCATTGCCGTTGTCGTTTGTGGCTGTCTTTCCGATATCCATCTCGTTATGCGTAGAACTAGTTTGATTCGGTTTTTGTTTTGGGGATTGGAATTGGGATTGTGTGCCCTTTTGGTCTACCAAACAGCAGCATTTTCTTTTACTGCCACCTAATTGCAACTTGAGTATTGACCGCATTTATAGGCAGAAATAACTGCAACTGCCGCTGTAGCTGTAACTGACAGAAACTTTGCTGGCAAGCTAATGACTATATTTAAAGCTGACTAAATACAAAGCACCGCTGTTCAACGGGGCCAGAATTTGTCGCTAGTTTGAGTGTCTGTGTGCGTGCTATTAAATTGTTCTAAATACGTTGTAGGTAACGGGAAAGTTGCTCTACGCCAGGCTTAAATAACAGCCAACAGGCAGTCGATGCGTGCGTGTGTGTGTGTGTGTAGCTCAGGTCGATTGGCCCATCACTTTAATTCATTAGCATGTCTATATAAAAGCAGTCAACTGCTCCAGAATTTATGCTAACAGTAAATGCCAGAACGCAGTGCAAAACAAAAGACTTAGGCAACAAACTTGATTTTGAGCATACATTTTAATAACATTGCCGTAGCCGCAACCGCAGCCGCACTTACCACCAGTAAACGATAATCCATGTTGGCCAACTTTAATAGCCTTTTATTTAGTTGCCCAGCAAAACGAGACACACAAGAATTTTCCTTTTTGTTGTTCACCTTTCCAACTTTGGCGTGTTGCGCTTCACAGAACTCGACGCGGCAAGTGCAACAACTGAACTGAGCCTCTGAATGCGCAACCAGCAGACATTGAACCTCTGCTTTTGAACTTGGCCACCAGCTAGCCAATAAGAGAGAGTTTAGAGAGTCGTCTCGGCTAGCCACAGAAAGTGGTAAAGAAAGCTTTGGCTGAGTGTTCTGCAGCAGCAACTCAACGACAACTTTCGAGAGAGTCATACAAGTGACGTACAGCAAGAGCTGTGGTATGCTTTTAGGAGGATGTGGCACGTGCGTGTAGTTCATTTACAGGCGGCTGATATAAAGTAACACAAGGTACTGCAAGTATTAATAAGAAGTTTGAAGTTGTAAATTCAATATAGCATCTTCCTTTATCCCTTCATAAAAATATATAACTTCACTGATTTTATATCCAACAATTTCACGTTTATTCATGAATACAATGTACAATACATAATTCATCAATTAATAAACATGCTCTTAACACACACTAGTTGAATCGTTCTCATTTATATATAAGTATATATATAATTAATGTATATAATAATAAAGTGTTTTACATTATGCAATAAACAATGTTTCAAAGTCTTTCAACATTTGTTATCAATATAATGTTTTGGTTTAATGCTTTCCTACATATACAATACACATTATAAAATGTTTAACTCTTACCAACTAATATATATATATAAAGAAAAAGAAATATGCAGCTGTGCCTGGTTTTGTTTTTAAATCTTTGTATATATAAGGTATGCTTCCAAATATTAAAATACAAATACTAGTCGTAGTAATTGAATTGAATATATACACATTCCGGGGGTTTGTATGCATATAAAGACGTAGCTTGAAACTTGGTTTCGTTACAAAAACTAATGTGTTTTCCTCTTCTTCCATATATGCATTGCACGGACTGCTCTAAATCGAGTTTATATAAAAAAATTATTATTGCATTTGTTTGCATGAAAAGAAATCAAAATCAAATCATATTGTACTTTCAAATTAAGCTAAATAAATAATAATAAAGATATTAAATTGTATATATAATGCAATGTCAATTGTTTTTAAAATGTTCTCGATTTAGTTTACAATCGACTCTGGTTCGCAATAAATTAACTTAAAATCAAATCAAAAACAAAACATGATTAACTCTTGAACCTAAGTTAGCTTAACTATATATATGTTTATATAATTCTATATACGAGTATGTGTATATATGTTTTGTAAATCGCAAATTGTTAAAGTAAGTTGTGTATAACATCTTTTATCTTAAAACTATATATATATATATATAAATATATATATATGGATGCAACTGCATCGATCGAAATATTCAATATAAAGTAAACTTTAGGCTTATGTCTATAGTGCGTTTTATGTGTGAGTGAGTCTGAATCCAAATCGAATAACAATATCGTCATTAATTCTTGGGGGAGACGGTAATTAACTTATGTGGCGTCACAGGCGATATCTGAGAGAGTTAATATATTCATTATTAATTAACCACATTCAGTAAAAGTCGCTAGATAACTTACCCATAAGGAGCGACCCATGTACGTATCGTCATCGTCCTCAATCAAACCGCTCGTATGATGATGACTCTGCTGGTCTATAAAAAGCAGCGTATCCTTGCTGCAGGTGTTGGCTGAGTTGCGCAGGAGCGAAGACAGCGTTTCACTGCATTCGCGCAACTTATAATTGGAGCTGGTGGAGAATGAATGCCGCAGACTGAGGCTAGCTGCTGCGGCTTGTTGCTGCTGATGCTGATGTTGTTGCTGCTGCTGCTGCTGTGTGGCACTCTCAATGGCCGAGACGCTGCTGCGCGAGCCGTACCAATTGTGATTGCAGTTGTTCTGCATCGCATGCCGCGATAGCTGTAAACTGGAAGACAACTGCGGCGTCGCATTGCCATTGAGTAGAGCCGCAGCAGCAGATGCGGCATTCATGTGCCCATTGAACTTGTTCTGCAGCGTCGAGGCGGCCGTCACGGAGGTGCTCAGTGAGCGCGGCGAAGACCGTGACGAGAGCGAACTAACCGATGAAGCTGAACTGGATATTGAGGATGTTCCTGAGCTGGCCGCTTGACCATTGGTTGTGGCTTCTACTGGAGTAGGCGCTTCGATGGCTGCCTCAGTAGGCGCCAAGGTGGGCGCTGTGGCGTCGCCGGCAGTTACCTTCAGCTGTTTTTCTGTGCAGTCCTCATCCATGTCAAATATGTGCGTGGCTTCAGCATCTTCAATGATAGAAACAGCAGTAGTATTAGCAGGCTCTGCAGCGGCCGGCGTTGGCGTTAGGGGTAAAGGCGCAGCGGACTCAGCAGCTGATTCATGTGACACGACTGGCTCCGCCACAGCATCCGCATCGGCATCGGCATCGGCATCGGCAAAAGCTATTGTCTCAATGTTGAGCACATCGTTGCTTGATGTTTCTGTGATGGTTTCTGTTGCAGCGGTAACTAAAGAATAGTAAATATTATAATAGTTATTTGTAAGGTAGACCGAGCAGCACTCACCCTCAGCTTGTTCCTCAATTTCACAGGCAGCAATGGGTATGGGAATGGGTACAGCCAGTGGCTTGGTAGGCACCTTCTCAACTATGGGTGGCACAGGTTCAGGCGCTTCAGATGTCGTTGGCACAATATCCTTCTCTTTGCTGGCAGTTGCAGGCGGCGCAATGCGCGAAACCCAATGATCACCCGATGTGGAACTGGAGCCGGAGCATTCGGCGGCAGCATCAACGCTGCGTCGCTGATAGAAGAGCATATAAGCTTCGTTGTTAATAATGTCCTGTTCGATGTCATTTTCGGGCACTTTGCTAACTCGTTGATCATCAAACTTGTACCATTGACGATCGTACGGATTCTTGCACGCTGCTGTATAATGACCCGTCTCCAAAGTGTCGCCCTGATGATAGCATACAGCATATAGATCGTAGCGCGTGTCTTTTGGCTCCGCCCGTGAATTTAGCGTGGAAGACCGTGAGTCGCCAGAGCGTGCTTTACTCTTGTTCGACTGTTCCATGGCAGATCCCAAGCTGTTGCATTCCCGCACTCCACGCGCTAAATGTGGCGACATATCGAAGGCAGTCAGTGGAAACTTGACCATGGTAGTAAGTTTGGCTGCCTGCGGTCCTTTGGCTTGATGCTGACGGAAGCGCTTGAAGTGCACAACCAAAATGTCAGGCAGCGACCACAGACCCAACGTCTTGACCACAGGCAAATACTGCTGGCAGTGCGGACAGCGCCAGGCATCCTCTGCACTGAGTGTCTCCGCCTTGGTATAATGTTCCAGACATTGTTCCAGCGTTAGGGCGGCCGTATCGTTGAGTTTGCTGGCACTGAGGCGTGCCACGCTCTCGTGCTCCACAATTGCATCGGCATCCGATTGCATTTGAACAAAGTGCGTTTTGGGCGCGTTCCATTCGAGCAGCAGCTTGATGTGGGTCGGCCCCGCCTCCGAAGAGAGCACCGATAGCGCCATATCAATCATTTCGGTGAGCAGCGGATGCTCCACCTGCTCCAGATATGTATCCGGATCAGCGGAGGGATCTTGCAGTCGTATCTTAAACATATCCGACAGCGGCGTGGCATAGGAAAACACTTCTGGCTTGAGAAGTGAGGACATTTCACGCAGCATGCGTTTCTGCAGTTCCTGGTAACTGCAATCTCTAGGCGCCCTCATGCTAAATGGCGCACCAAATCGTGTGCAAACATCCTTGACAGCATCCTTGTCATCGCCCTCGCCCTCGCCTCCCTTCGTTCGGTGCACATTCGCCACGAGCAGCAGCAGATCCGTGGAATGTGTGGCCGCTGTTTTTGCCTCCGCTGGTTTCTCGGCACCATCCGCAGGCGCAGCATCTAAGGCAGCCTTTGGCGCTGGACTCATTTCGGGCACCTCAATGCAGTAGATATTCTCTACGCTGCTCAGCGTCTCCACGGGCTGAGTATCGTAGAAAACGCGCGTGAATCCCTCCGAGCTAAGATCCACCAGTACCATGCGATCAGCGGCAATGCCCGTCTCCTGAAGTTGCTCACGTAGCACAACAATGGGAGAGCCAGCGGGCACACGCAGACCCATCTTGAGTTGACGTGGCTGCTTCTTCATAAAGACCACAGTCACAAAGACGGTCAGCTGGGTGAGCTGCGGCAGCTGCACCGAAATGCAGTGGAACGGATCGAAGGTATTGGACTGCTTCTGGCAGCGTGGGCAGGTCAACGAGGAGCGAAACTGCGCCTGAAACACGGCCTGCACAAAGCTATTATTGCATCGTATATGATTCGCCAAAGTCTCGGCGGCAATTATCTCATCCGAGCGGCCGTAGGAGTTCTGTGTGTTAAGAAAATACTACAATGAGTGGGTATAAAGATATGTTGTAGAGCTGAGTTGGCAGCCTACCTTGATGCTCTTATAGCGCCGTTTGCTAGCCGTATTCAAATCCTCGTGCACCTTGTCCAGCAGCCAAAACAGAAACTCCTGTGCATCGTGCTGCGTCGAGCTGCGAAATTGTGTGCCATAGCGATCGACAACGGCCTTAAAGCTAGTGCTATGATCGCTCTCATTGCGACACGTCCACAACGCTTTCAAAACGTTGGCCAGCTGTTCGGTCAATTCTCCCTTGGTGCCGAATTTGCGTGAATTGATCTTATTGCGACGCTTCAGATCCGCCTGGCAAAGAAGAGAAAGCTTATTTAAAATCTAGGCTTATATCGTTTGGATTGGTTTGACCTACCTTATACTGATCCAGCACAAAGTATTCGGCTAATATGTCCGTGTGGCTGAGGCATTGGAGCACCGCGTTCATGAAGCAGGTGTTGCCATGATTCTTAAGGCCCATTACGCCGGGCGTCTGATCGGCGGGCCATTGATAGCCCCCAATGGGCGGCACACGTTCCGTTCCATTCGCATTTCCCATGCTCGCCTGGCCATGTTTATTCGCCTGCACAAGAGGAGAGAAGGCTGCGATTACTCACTGGAGACTGCAAATTGATGAGTGCAAGGAAACTCGTTTCCAGCGATCGATGCCAATATAAACTGGCAAGCGACGGTTGAAGCGGAGAGTGGTATTCGAGGAGGGGATTTGTAGCAATTGGGTTTCAATTTCGTTGCCAATTAAAAATTGTTTAGAGCAGCCAATTTGCGATAAATGAAGAAATATTTCGAAATGCAACAGCAACAGCAACTGCAACTGCAACAAAAGCATTTCTATTGGAGAGAGCAGCTTATCAACTCGGACAATCACGTAATAAAGCAGAGATTGCACACTGTGCTAATATTTAATATGCGAATCATAGACGATAATGCACACACACACACACACACAAGTCTCCATAGGTGTAAATATCTACTTTGTAACTGTGCTAATCTACAAAGCAAACAAATAAACAGAGCACAAAGCAAATTGATTCGAGATACGGTAATGAATAAGCTATTTGAGTGTTTTTTATGCGTTTATGAAAAGTAATACATAAACAAATTAAACGAAAGCTAAGGTAAATAAACAGCATAAAGAACGAGATTAATACATGACTAGAAACAAAAGAATCGACCAGAAAGTATAGCTATTAATACCCTGTAAAGCAGTGCAATGGTTGGTTTACGACTGCGGCTTTCGACGCACAAAGTGAAGTTCAAGATTAGCCACAGCTATTTATAAGCTGCAGCCCCATTTGACGCAATAACGGAATAAAATTAGAAAGAACAACAATTGAACCACAAAATGAAAAGAGTAAACAATACCCTATAAAGATATATATATATACATAAATAGAGTAAATATTTTCAGTGGCTGCACTTTGTGAGTATGTAAATTGTGTTCGCACGTGTCATTAAAAATGACGCGCAGGTTGAATGGATTTACGACATTATAAACATGCTTTACAACAAGGCGCCTGCCCTACTGGCAGACATCGGGTGGTGCGAGTGGATTTAACGCAATTTCGGATTGCAAATCAAGAAGAAGAAAGACAAAACAGTGTTGAATTATAATTATGAAATTGCAAACAGCTGGCAAAGCGAGAAACAAAAAAAATTGATATATAAGCACAAGCAAATGGTCAAAGGTTATGGGGTTGACTATGAGGTCAATGCTAAGTGCCCAGTGTGTGTGAGTTGTGTGTGTGGATAAGTTGGCAAATGCAGGCACATTCAGTTAAGTAAACCAAATAGAGTGTGATCCATAACGTATAGGGGGCAAGTCTTGAAGCTTATAACGTCATGGAACAGAGCACAACATAAAAAGCGAAAGAAAAAACCCAAAAGAAGCGCTAACTAAAGCCGGTTTTCCTCTTTTTTTTCGAAACGCAAAAACCCACGCAAAACTCTAGGCCAAAAGAAATCAATGTAGATAAACAAACAAAATAGTGGGGAACGAACAAAAAAAGAAGGCTGCCAATAAAACTAGATACAATTGGCCAGGCCAAAAGTAAATGCGTGGGCGTTGCACTTGGAATCAGTTGGAGTTGGTGTTCGAAGTTGATCTTGGCATAGGAACAGGAATCAATATAAGCTTTAAAAAGGGTATACGCCTACTGTGCTTTTACCTCTTTTCGTCGCCAGCATCCGGTGTAGAATGGCACGATTTCAATAAAAGTTGTGCGATGCGCAGTGTTGTTCTCTTGCGACTGCGTTGATTGCAAATACAATTAAAGATATAGATAAAGCCAAAAAGAAAGATATTAAGGAGAAAGGACAATAAGTTAAAGATGTAAATAGCTAATAGCTTAAATATTATTCTAGAGTTTAATTGAAAGTCATAGATATAGTTATTACTTAGATGAGATATATCAAGATCCATATACTCTCTAGAAAGCTCATCATCGTGTATGATGCTCATTATTCTCATGTTCTCATGTAGTGTAAACAGAAGTATATAAAACGATTATATATTTATAATTATATTCACATATTTATTTATCTAAATTTCGAATATATTCTCTAGATCTTGACGTCAGGGTATTTTGCAGTCTAGTATTCCCAACCAGATCATTTCAGCTTTGCTTATATTCGATTTTAGCATAAAGTCTCTCTTAGTCATCATTAGCTCTTAACACACTCTCTCTCTCGCCTCTTTCGGGTTTCTTCAACTGTTTTGTCACATACACTATACAGCCGGGTTGAGCAACGTCATTAGCGATTTATTGTCAAGTTTTGCGCCGAGTGCATGTGACACCAATTGCAATCTCAATACCGATACCAAACGAATTCTAAGCACACTCTGAACTATGCACATTGTGTTGTGGATTGTGAATGTGAATTGTGAATTGTGAATGTTGTGAATGCTGTCATTCATTCATTCATGAGTGTGTCAGCAACAAGTTATTGCAGGCATTGTTATTGTTTTTTTTCTTTTTTTTTTATATATTGTATTTGCTTCAGAGTGAACCCGGCATCCGTTGTTGGAATTTTTTTTATCTCAATTGACATTGCGCTGGCATTGGAACGGAGTGCATTCGACAAATGGACAAATGACATTGACTATGCATACCCTACCCTACCCGCCCCGCCCATTTTGTATTCCTCGACCACTGATAGAAAAGAGGTCATAGAATATATCCTGGCTGACAACCAAGTGCAATTCACAGTTGTAAATTGTTGTATTGTTTTCAGTCGAATGAAGGTCAGTTTCTAGACAAACTAATTTCTTTGTATACCCTTTACTTGTGTATGAATAGGGGAAGATTACACAAAGTAATACAGAGCGTTGTTCTAGCTATACCAAAATGTTATAGTAGATATATATACAGCAGATTTGGTATGTAGGCTACTATACATGGGACATATATATATTTGAATTCAGCTTTTAAAAGTATTTCATGCTGAAATCTAGATTGTTCCGTAGAAAAGCTAGTCATCGGCCTTTCAGAGACCCCTAATCATTCGCTCTATATTACATCATTCTAATTCATTCCATAAATATATCTACCTTTGTTCGTCGCTCCAGTTTTGATTTGCTCAAGTCAATTGTTACGCATTAATTCAATTCAAAATTTGATTGGATTGGGGTTTGGGGTTTGAAATTAAGCCGAAAAGCAGCTTAGTCAATTAAACAAAGCTCAATTAAAACCAAATGCTATAAGCCGAGCTAAGACACAGCTTAAAGACAGAGAAACAACAACAAAACTTGCCCACTTCGTGGTTGGCGTGGTGTGGCTCTTTGAATCAAAGGCATTTCAAACGCACGGCGAGCCTCAATAAGTAAATTGAGTGGAATTTGCTTTAAACGCATGTTCAGTTATATATATACATGTATAAATATATGTATTTGTGTATATAAATATGTATATGTATTTGCTGATGTGCGCTAGCTAGTGACCTAATCGCTGTGGCCAGCGTCAGACAAAATGTAAAGCATTTCTCACACAGCTGGAGACGGCGACGTCGTTTGTTTCCATTGCTCGCATTCTGGCAAACGCGGCGTATGCGCACTGCCAGCCGGTCATCAAAACCGGTGCGGCAATATATCTTAATAAATATACATATATATATAGACATACACATACAAGTAGCTGAGCATAACATTCTGTGTTTTTAGCTTTAAGACAACAGTTAGAACTAAATATTTACTCTTGTAAAAGCAGCGGCACATGTTTGTTAAATATTTCATTTTCAGAACGTCAATGAACCCAGTTAGCTTCAATTAATAACACGTTTTTAAAAATTCATTAATATTCATTTATAAAAGCATTTCATCAGACTATACTTTAAATACAATACAATAAAGCTTGCAAATTTTTGAGTATGCATTGTTTATCGTTAATCACTCAGTACCTTATATAGAGGTATTATTCTCTAGCTTTGGTCCCTAAGCTAGACTTCCATTACTTATAAATCTGGCAGTATCGTATTTAAAATAAAAGAAAAAACTTTTGTTCATGCGTTATATTGAATTTTTTAAACATTTCTATAGTTGCGCGTTGTACTGAAAATAGTTGAGACTTTCAATATTTTTATACACAAAATTGGCGCTAGATGCTAGAATTTGAGTAATGTTTATATAGAAAAGAGTAAGCCTTATGTTTAATAACTGAATTTGAGGCAGATCGTATATTGTAAAATGTTATACCTACATTACCAAAATTGAGTTAAGAGCATATATTGTTATTTTTAAAGTGTATGTAACAGGCAAAAGCAAACATATCCAATTCCATAAAGCATATATATTATTGATTAGAATCAATGATGGAGTTGGTTCAGTTTAGGATCTCCAACAGCCTACTTCAGTTATTTGAGCATATTCTTAAAAGAATTATCAATAATAATGCATAATTTATATTTTGAATAACGCCCACCTCACATCTGCACAGCTTCTGGTTAGCGTCACTCGTATTTCTGCTAACTAATGTGTCTGTTAGGGTAGAGCATCAATGGCATTCAGCAGTCAATAGCCCCATTTAGTTTTGTTTTTTATTTCTTTTCGTTAATTAAACTGACCAGTCTTAGAAGTCGTCATCGTTTGCGTCGTCTACGTCGCCACTTGTCTCAATTTACTCTAGCAATTTTATCATCATCATATTATTTATAAATTTAACGCATTTATCTTTTGTTTTGCATGCGCTTTTTGTTTTGTTTATTTATACAAAATAAAGAAAGCAGAAAAATATACGAGTCGGGTTTCAAGTAACAACTGATTTCTATATATATATATATATATATATATATATATATATATATATATATATGTACTTATGTAGATATGTATTGTATATACATTTACTTATCTGGCTGCGTGTTTGTGAATATCATTTATTTGGTATCGAATCATGCGATTTGTTTGCTCACTCAGTTTTTTTTAAGGGGCCGAACATGAAATTTGCTTTTGTGTCTATCTAGAAAAAATTCCATTGGCCAAATTGTTTATGCGCTGGTGCAGCAAAAAAAGTGTGTCTCGATAAGGCCCAGAGGCTTCGATTACTTATCTGTCCAAATATAATCGTTCCTACGAGTCGTATGAGTAATTTTGTTGTTGCCTTTACGTAACTGCAAGTGACAGTGGCAGTTGCAGCAATGCTCGTTGTTCTTGTTGTTGCTGTTGCTGCTGCAGTTCGCCGTTACGCTTACGCTTTATTAAATAATTGTAAATAATTGAAGATAATTGACATCGTTGTTGATGTTGTTGTTATTATTTTTTGATGCCAGGCATGAATGAAATAACAGAGCTTAAGCTAAAAAAAACTAGGCTTGGCCCACAAAGCGCTCTATTGAGCCGCAGAGCTGTCGTCGTTTGTTCTACCGGTTCGTCAACTTTGTTTTGGAATTTATAAAATAAATAATATGCGATATAGGCAAACGTAAGCATATGTTTAGTTTGTGAATTCACTTGTTTTAAGAAAAGTTCAGCTATTACTAGTCCGTTTAGCAAAACTCGTTATATTTTATCGTCATATGCTTCACGTGTTAGCGCAATTTAGAACTTTATTATTCGGCATCAGTAGACAATATGTGACCGAACATGTAACTGGATACTGCCCTATAGATATAGAGCCTAGACAGCCTATACTATATTTCAGTAAGTTCCTAGTGATGCGGAAGAGAGTTGTCTGCTGGTCCACATAATAAATATAATCTAGTTTCATATGGTTCTTGTATAAGGTTCATAAACAAAGACATGCCTCAGCCCGACTACTATATGCATTGTCAGGCAAGATAGTTTCCAATTTATAATATGCAAATAACTCTTACATATGGAGTAAAAATGTTAATATGCCTAACCTGCTGCCCTCTCAACCATTGTACTTACTAATTATGCCAATGATTTAGGTGTTAAATAAAATCTTCACACGTGACAGTCGAATTCGTCATTAAAATTGATTGCTAATTAATGTTTGTGTTTTCTTTTTGTTAATGGCTTCCGTTTGAATGTTTGATAATTTTAACGATTTAGTGATTAGTATATGACATATGACGTCAGAGATACAGATGGAGCAAGAGACCTGTTGAGAGTCTCAAGTGGCTTAAATTCTGATTGTTGTCTCGATGCAATCAAACCGAATGTGGCCAAAAATAAGTCCTCCTTCGAGTTACTGCAATTAGTTGTAGAACTTGATGTATTATGATCGCGTTTCCAATTCCAATTGAATTCAATCGAACGGGCAATCGAACAAATACACTTGACACTTTAAGACATTTGATGAATGCTTTTTGCTTTAGCCAACGTTTTTAACACTTGACAAATGTTTTGATCAGGCGATCGTTGCTATAAATATATATATGCATGTATATATATATATATATGCGCCTATGTATAGAATTTACTGTTTTTGCTGCTGCTTCTGCTGCTGGTTATATAAAAGTTGCTCGCACCACACGTGGCCGACACGCCCACGTTTTTTGTGCTCTCGAATAGATATTTTTACCAAGGTTCTCCTAATCAGCACCTTGACTGTGTGAATTGCGGCTCGCTTATCAGCGACGCGATACGCAAAACGAATGTATGAATATAAACATGAATGTGAATATTCGTTAGCCAAGATATTCTCTGCTATTCTATTCACTTATATGATATCACAAGGACAAACGGTCCAGTTAGCTGGGCAAATTTGCACTTTTTATTTGGTTATCAAACACGCTCGACTGCATAACAAACACAGCTTATAATTGCGTTACGTGGACAATTTTGATGACAGTTAGAAGTACTTATACATATACCGATGCAGATACAGATACACATACATATGTAGGTATATTATAACAGTATCTTGGCATTATTAGAGGCGTTGCGAGTTGAAATTTATGTCTGCAATTAACTTGAAGTGAAGCAGAATGTTTGCTTTGAAGCAAACTAATTTTAATTATGTGTCTGAGATATACCTATCTATATATATATTTATGTGTTTGTATGTATATATATATCATATATCATTTTTAACCATATGTATTCGCGTGCATTAAACAGCAACACATTCGAGTGCTTTGCTGTGATTATTATTTTTGGGCGCTATTTCAGACATATGACCTTTGCTTGTATTTTCGGGCAAACATACTTATAAATACATTAACTGAGAGTTCAGGGTCATTGTACATTGAAATATTATTGAGACATGTAAACAATTAAAAGCACACTGCACAATGTGCTATAAATAAATATGACGAACAACTGGAAATTATTAAAAAACTTTAATTTTCTAAAGTGCAACAGATTCGTATCAAAAGCTGAATGATGTGAAAGTCGAGTTTACAAAGAGAGCGCGAGCAAAGCTAAGCGCTATATAAATTGCATTGAAATTGATAAATATGCTTCCAATAATGTGTATACATTCAAAAGCAGAATGATATATGATACATATCCTGATCTCAGTTCTTAATGCAAGTATATTATACACAAAAGAATATTAGACAAAAACTAAATTAAGCTGTAAGTTGAGATGATTTAAGTCTCTACGTCTAGCCTGCTAAGCTGATAGCGGGCTTATAAATAGATTAGTCGTATGCTTAAGTTAATTCAACTGTAGCTGTTGATTACCTAACTGAGCTTAGCAACACTGAAAGAGACATTACAGTAGAGTCAGAGACAACACTGATTGCCGCTTAAGTGAATGAACTGTGTCTGCTGATCTGATCTGATTCGCATGACATTCTATATATATGTATATAAGTTTTTTTATATTTTTTATTTAGCTAATCAACTAGTTTAGCGCATAGTTTAAGAAATTTATATTACTCTTGTTGTTGTTAAAGCTGCAAGGCAACTATTTTTACACGCGCACCGCACATTTGTTTATGAAAATATGCTGCTACAAAAATACACACACGAAAAACACTAATATACTATGGGCATAAAAAAACAACACCCGTTCTGAAAAACATTTTCAATTAGTTTGATCACAATTGATTTTACCTTGAAAGCGAATTCAAAAGAGCAACAGTGAGCGAGTGGGAGACAGCCGGAGAGTAAGAGAGCAAGAGAGAGAGAGAGAGAGTGAGTAGCAAAACGTGCACAAAAACCAACAACAGACAAAATAATTCGCACAACAACAACAACCATCGAAAAAGTTACGTGTTAGCTTTTGCCTGGCGGAAATACGCGAAATACACACACGCACACACATTAACACATAGTACATAGAGCGTACTACGGCGAATATCATAGAAAATCAACAGCGAAATAAACACACACAGAGACAGTGAGTAGGCACACGTTGTTACGTACTAATCTCGGCCATCAACAAGTGCAACAACAGCAACAGCAACAACAACAGCAACATGCTACATAGTATTCCACGTCTAACGGTGGGCGGCCAAAAGCTTACGGAAATGGCTTGCAAATGAAACCCGCTGCCCCTGGGCCGCCTTCCCCTCTCCACTTTCCTGATTGGTCGCACCCTAATACAGCCATACAAAGAAAATCACGTGTTGTTATTAAAGCGGAGCGCGTATCGTGACGTGACACGACGCAGCACGAATATACATACTTAGGCAAGTTTAATAACAAAATAGATAATATAAATATCACATTTAAATATGTAAAAGAGAGTATAGCGATAAAATTGGTATGTCATTATTTTAGATAGTGTTAGTCGACCAAAGCTTTAGCCTAGTTTAAGTGACGTTTGCTAGAGGTTGCGACACGCTGCCATCTTCAGCTGTCAGGGCAAAGCGTGTGAAATTCATGTTGCACGTTTCACTATTGAGTGTCAGTTTTTTTGTTTGACTCTAATGTCGTCTAGCTAACCAAGTTCCCAGCTCAGCCCCGCCCCCTCTTGCGCCTGCTGGCCTCAGGCATTTTGCGGCCGTTTGTCATTTGTGCAAGATTTTTCCTTATTTTTTTTTGGCATGCAATTTTTGCACAATGCGACGTCGGCCCACGCGCAATGCACCAATTGGCATTTTAATAAGCCAAATTGAATTGTTGTTGTTTTTGTTTCAGCTTATTCGCGTTGCACTTGCTGCGGCTAGGCAATTTGAATAAAATCAATGCGAGATGCTTGAAGCGTGAATCATAAATCAACTGCCGAGGCTCACAGCTGGAATGTGAGGTAATCATAACAATAACAACAGCAATAGCATCAGCAGCAATGGCATCAGCAGCAGCAATAGCAGCATCAACAGCAGCCACAGTAGCAATAGCAGCCGAAACAATGGACAATTGCCTCACCACACAGCTGGTGAAAGGTGGCAAAGCCAAAAACATGGTTAATGACAGAAGGCCTTCACTTAAGCTAAAAACAACAAAATACAAAATACAGCAGAGTACAGTGAAAGCTCTGCTAACGAACAGCTGCCTAGAGCAGATATTTTTAGCTGCAAGTAAACCCTTTTTGCTGTTTGTAATTTCAGTTCACTCTGGCGAGCTTTCACTGTAACTATTTATATGCATGTTTGTAATATAGTTTAGTTATATATATCATCATCATCATCATTGAAGTTGCCTCCAATTCAATTCGTTTCGTGCATTTGAAATTGTGTATTTCGTGCTAACGCTTAGGAATTCGAGTCGCGTAAAAGGTCAGCGGCAAACGGTCTAAGGTCTTGCCCTCTACAATTAATCAACATGCTTATTACAACCAATACATACACATACACATACACATACACATACATGCATGTGTGTACATATGTATATTCCTTACTTGTTAGCGCAAATTGAATTTCAGTGCAGTACATGCCTCACTGTAAGAGAGCGTATACAACTGTCGGCTGTCATTCTTGTGTTGCCTTTCAGGCTTTTCTTTCTTCTTTCTTCCAGATGATGAAGCGTGGCACACATTTGTCAATCTGCCGCGAGGAGTTGTCTTCAGGACTGCTGTGTATCTCCATTGTCTGTGCCCCAGCTGCAGCTGTGGCTGCCTCTGCTACGCTCCAACAGCGCACGAACTAAAAAAAACTTTTGTCTCGAGCTGCTGCTTTGTTGATGTTGTTGTTATTGTTATTCTGATCTGTTGTTTTTGTTGTTGTTGTTCTTGTTGATGCTTCTCTAGCCGAGCTTGTCGCTGTTTGTTTTTTTATTTGCTTATTGTTATTATATATAGCGCGAACAGAGGCAACAAATGTTGCCAACATTTACACAAATTGTTTGAACAATTGCTGGGCACAAAATATTTAAAAAATAAAACAAAAATGAATTTCAATGGCCGACCCTACCACAACGCCCACCAACAACACCTGCAACAAATTTAGGGTCTCCCTCAGCTAAATAAATTATAAAAATAATAATGAGACAGCAATTGTTTAAAAATAACATTAATTTCCATGCGCTGTCAGCATGGTAATTATATTTTAAAGCACATAATAAAGAATAAACAGAACCAAGTCGCACTTTGCTTGCTCTCTCTACCTCTCTCTTCACTTCGTTCGGCCTATGAAACTGTTAGAAAGTTATAACAGTTTTGCTAACATTTTTGCATATGCTATAAATATATGTCTTTTTATAAACCTGACCTACATACATACATGAATTCATACACAACTTTAACATAACATTACTATGTAAATTACATACACACATATATACTCTCTCTTTCTCTCTCTCCCTATCTTCCTTTCACATTGCCTGTCTGGCTGTACATAAGTTTTTTGAGACTTCAAAGCGTATGGTGAGAGAAAGCAACACGCCGATTAAGCCCGACATTTGTATACGGCGATACGTTGTCTCTGTTATCAACACGCATTTCAGTGTGACTCAGCAGACGGCGGCACAACAAATAACAACAACCGAACGAAACATGGAAACGTGGCAAATGCCGATTTGGCCAGCGTATGGCGCGCCCAGTGGGTGGCAAACACTACAAGAACAATTGGCACGCAATGCAGGACTTACATATGGGTATGTATATGTATGTATATGTACAGCTATTAATTTTATATAAGCATGTGTGTCAAATACTGTAAAGCATTGAATGTATTGCACAAAAGTAAAGAAGGCAGCAAAGTGCAAGCGCAAAAGACAAAGGCGGCGACGACAGCGGCTACGACGGCGGCAATGCAGAGCAAAACAAAGGCAACGATAACGCCGACACCAAACGATGTTTTTATAAATACACGCACACACAAATACACTCGCACACAGATGCACAGCAGCACTAGGCACTGTGACCGCGCTGCTTATCAGAGGGGAGTTAGCGGCTGCTGTTGAACAAAGAAAGCGAAAATATGTACACATTTGTACAAAGAAGTAGTTGACAGTAGTGTACCCTAGAGATGGGCGCCCGTGGGATTTGTCTAATACGATATGGAATTTCGTGAGATGTTCGTGTCACGTTCAGAAATCAGTTCAACTCTAGCTATAGCTCATACACATGCATATAATTACAAATGCACGTGTGCATGTGTACGTATAAATTTACAGTTATATTTCTAGCGCTTACCCCAACATTCACCGTTGCACTCAAATGCTGAGCGATACGATTCAGAAATTTCCTGAAGGACGAGCGACGCATCGCACGTGCACGCTTGTTGTTGTTGCTGCCGCTATTATTGTTGTTGTTATTGCTGTTGCTGCTGCTGCTGACTGCAATGGTCGCCGCCCTATTTGAGCCAATTGCATGCTTGTCCTTGCCAATGGGCGCGTCAGAGGCGGTCGCCTCATAACTGCTGAGCGATACAATGCTGCCGCTACGTCCCCGGCCGCCGCTCACACAGGATGAAATTGCCGTGCTGCTGGCAACGCTGCCGACGTTACCGTCACTGTCGGCGACTCCGGCGCCGCCGGCTGTCGTTCCGATCGTTTTAAATTTTCGCGACCAGCGAAACGGATTGCGTGGCATGGAGAAGGCGCGCCGTATCTTTTTGGCGGCATTTGTGGCCATAGTGGAAGCCTGGGCGGCAGGAATGATTAGCACTGGCGTCGGCGCTGCGGCATGTGTGGGCAGCGTTTGTGACTTTACCTCCATTATAAGCGTTGGTGTTATTGCGCCTGATGTTGCTGTTGCCGTTGATGCTTCTGCCTCTGCCTCTGCTTCTTTTATCGTTGCTGTTGTTCTTGTTGTTGTGGCGTTGGCGTTGCTGTGGGTGGCGGCCGCTTCTGCCGCTGGCACTGCTGCGACGTCGGCGGCGGCAGCGTAGTCGTTTTGTTGCACTTTCGTTCCCATTTTTGATTTAAAAAACTTCGTCACATAAAATTAATTGCCCTGTTGGTTGTTTTGTGAATCACGTTTTCGACTATAAGAAATTGACTTTTAGCATTAGATTTCACTTTTTTAGCGCACTTTATTTCCGATTTTTTTTCTTCTCGTTGCCGTTACTTTGCTTCGAGATGCAACGAAAGCAAACAATAGCCGCGTGATGTAAAGAAGACTTTTTATAACCGAAAAACGATTTTTCCCTGTAAATACCGCTTATTTTTCCGCTTTGATTGAATTTTTTTCGCAGAAAAATGCAGAAGTGTGTTATCCGCGTCCAACCCGTCCCAATGTTTTTTCCCGAATATAAATGTTAACGTAAATGCTGATGTTAACCAAGCGTTGTGCTCTGTTGTCCTCAAAGTGCACTGTTAACAATTGTCTATCGATATGTTTGCCATGTACAGCTCTGTTATTATATTACGGGCACACTCTGAGTTATGAAAATAAGTGGCAATATATAGCGTTGCCGTACTGTTGGTATTATTGAAGGTAGTGGCAAGGCAAGACACATGAATTGCGAAAGTTCAGTGCTATGAAACATATTCGTGTACTAAAAATTTTGAACTGCCTTACGCTATTTGCAGATATACGTAATGCATGAGAAGTATGGAATAACGTTATATTCGGTGTATGCAAGGAAAAATGTTTTGAGTATATAAATGTTTTTGCAACCGTTTACAAAAGTTATTATTTCTACGATTGCGATGTCAATTTATGAAAATCTTTTGCTAATAGTAAATATTTTCGGTTTCAGTATGTAGTCTTTGGCTATCAACCCCGTCAACGCAGTGCAATTTACTGTTATTACAGCCACAGCTCAGCTGCAGTAAATGAAAACTTTTTAGTATTCATGGTTTTAGCATTAACGACTCCAATTATGGCAGCATTTTATTTCATTTTACTTTATTAGCTCTTAGCAGCGGCAGCGACCAAGACAACAAAAGCAACAGCGACGGCGACGGCGTCGCCGACATCGGCGCTAACGTAGGGCGTGTCTGCTAACAAAATGGAGCAATGGCTCCATAACCATAAGCAGCCAATCAGAGTCCAGCTGGTGTGAGTCGGCGCAGGAGAGAGCGAGAGACAGAGTGTGAAAGAGAGCACATTACGTTACGCTCTCTCGCGTATATGAGCAGCTTTTTTCAGTTACCGTTGTATGAGCTTGGTATATTAAAATGGCCGTCGCCGTTGCCGTTGCAAATAAGCTCTAAAAGTCCCAATTATAGGCACTTATTCATTGCGGTATATGATGCGTACAACGATGATGCCGTTACTACCGTTAGCCGTTGCCTGGCGTTTGCCATTTTACAGGTGCCGTGCGTTGTGTTTAATCAAAACGGAAGAGCCGACAACTGACGAGCACAACAGCAATTAAACGCCTCGGCTTGACTTTATTGCTGGGTTTATCGTGTGGAATGTGTCTAAATGCTGAAAACCCCCCATGACCCCGTTGCCCTTTGTTGTTTGGCTCGCCCTGTATTAATTGTTTTGCTCAGAGGGTTGTTGTTGCCGCTGCTACGTTGCTGCTCTGACATTAATTGGCTGTGTACGAGGCCAATTTGGCGTTGAAATCGGTTAAAAGGCGCAAATTGATTGCCTTGCGGTTTTAATCGATGCACATTCATTCCAAATCACGCACATTTATCACCCACGCTCAGCCACCACCCGCTGCTGTTGTTGCAGCCACATCTGCGCCGTTTATAATTGCCAGCAATTGCAATTGCAATTAACGTCAATTTTTAGCGCAGTGAAAACTCGGAAAATGCACACACAAAATGGCTTTGCGTCTTGGCTTAGCTTCAACTTTTCCTCTTAAGTTTTTTTTTTCAACAGTTATATATCATAAAAACCCGTTATATAAGCATTGCGTGTTTATTGCGAAACATTTGCCTGGCATTTTACCTGGCAATTTATGCGGAAATCGTTGGCTGTTTTTTAGCCAACGGATTGGCAAGAGGTAAAAAGGATGTGGAAGGATGTGCGCTTTCCACGAATATCCTTTTGGGCTAGAAGTTGTGTAGGGTTATGAAATTTTACGCAAGGATTGCTCAAAGGATTTAGCGTGAATCGTAAAGGCCTTTCGCCTTTCGCCTTTTGCCTGCACTGCAGGAGCAGCACACGATAATTGCGCGCAATCAACGCATAATCCTCACATAATCTGCAGTATTAGCAGTTGTCAAACGGAGAAAAAACAGCGACTTCTGCTTAAAAAACTAATTCGACACGACCTTGAGTGGAAAGTCAACTCAGGCTGCAGTTGTTGCTGTTGCTGTTGCTGTTGCTGTTGGCTAACAGGTATATTGCACACGCCCCCGACTTGCGCCACGCCCCGAGTTTAAGAAATAGGCGCAGCAAATCGCCAACTTAATTGCCAGAAATTCTCAAAACAAACGAAAACAAACAAATAAACAGAGCGCTGGACGAACGATAAACTTGAAACTTGGATTTGCATCGGGGATTTCACAAATTTTTAGCTGCTGCAATTAGGCGACGGCTGCTGCTGCTGCTACTGCTGCTGTTGCTGTAGCCGATTGACTTCTGCGGATCATCTGGAGTAATCGAAGTTAATCCCGTTAGTAGCAGGCGCAACCCGTTCGCCTGGGTTAAGCAGCTTAAGCGCAGATTTAGCGCAGAAGTCAGCGCAAATGCGAAAGGATTAAAACTCCTGTAGGAGCAGCAGCAACAGGAGGCGTGGCTGCCGCTGCCGGTGCAGGTCAGCGAGTCGGACAGTCAACCAGTCGGTCAGTCGGCCAGTCGGTGTCCTCGGTGGTTTTGCTGGCTGCGGGTAACGCCCAGTGCCGCCGCCCTAATCCGTTTACGCCTCGAAATTAATGCAAACATTTAGAAGGATTATCAGCGCGGCGCGCACAACCCGCCCAAAAGGGGTAGCCGAACCGGCTCGACCCGCTGCAGGGTATGCAAATTGAAAATGCAAATGCGCAAATTCGCTGAACTGCGGAAGAGTTGGGCTGGTCGTAAAAGCATGATAGGATTGATAATTCGCAGCTACTTGTCGTTCATTCTGTTGGCATTGTCTCTGCCAGGATTTGGCACTTGGCTGCGGGCAGTGAAGCAGACGCGAACAAGCACACAGGTCGAGCGAGCCTCTGTCCCGGCGTATCAAAAGCAATGGCACAATTATGCGTTTCGTGGAAGTGATTAGAGGCAGCGATTTAGTGCCAAAGAGTTGAAAATATTTGTGGATTAGAGTTTGACTTTGTTCAGGCCAGCACACACACACGCACACACACACACACAAGCATAGGCATGACCTAGTCAAGGGCAGGAAATGCAGCAGGACCTTAAACTTCCGCTGCGCTCAAGTGGATGCTGCGTAGCAGCCAAACTACTTAAAACTCAATTAGCAGCATTGCAGTCAGCGGTTAAAGGAGCTTGTGGCGCCACCAGGGCCACCAGAGCAGTCGCAACAAGCCGCAACAACATAAAAGATACAATTTATAACAATACAAGATACAAATGTGGCGGCTACACAGTGCGAAAATAGGGGTATAAAAGGCAATTTCATTTTATTTAACATTTAAGTTGACTCTAAAAGAACTCATGTATCTTGCATGTATAGGAAGTGGGGCGGATTTTCTCACAGTGTAGCCGAAATATATAGAGCATTAAGTGTTTGCTGTGGCCATGTCGAAGTCATCAGAAAACTGTGAAGTGAACGAGCAATTATGTTGTCGTCGTCGCTTTGATCTGCGACCACTTACAACGCATCTGTACAGATACAGATACAGATACAGATACATCTCTTTAGATACTTATATCAGCATATAGCTGGCTGAGCTGTGCATCTGCTGCGAGTTGATTTCCTTGTTTAAGCATTTTTTAATTGTATGCTAATTGATTGCATTGTCACAGAGAGCCGCTGCCTATATCCATGAGAGATACTCAAAGACTTGTGCTATATTTGGCTCCCAGTTCCGGACTCACATTTCTGTTCTTTTTCGATGACATTTCGACAAGGCAGCTGGCAGGCGTGCAAGTGGAGGGGGCAAGTGGCGAGGCATTGATAGGCTGCCGAATTCATTGATCAATAAAAAATGGAAATCAAGAAGTAAAAGATGGAGACTGATGCAGCCTAAGATACAGCTAGGGATACACACTGAACTTATGATATAGCTATAGAAATGGCTAAAAATACGGATGTATTTCTAATGTATAAATGTAGTTATACTATATATATATAAGTATATTGAGATACATATATAGTTATAGATATATATATAGATACAGATACAGATACAGATACAGATACAGATACAGATACAGATACAGATGCAAATACAGTTACGGTTAGAAGCTACAAAGGCAGAGCTTAAGATACAGATACATTTAGAAGCACATAAACAGCTTCAGATGCAGATACATTTTACAGTTGAGCAGATTAGCGGAAAGCGCTTAGCGTTTTATTGACAGCATTGGCCGTCATAAAATGCTTAATCCGGCCAGAAATTCTGGATAAGATGTCGCGATTTTTAGCATGCTCAAAAAAGGACGACAGGACGAACAGGCAGCAGCAGCAGCAATGGCGGCGGCGGCATGAAATGGCCTGTGAAAAAATATCTAAAGAAGAGAACCAGAAATAATAACAACAACAAAAGGCTGAAGGTCACGGCTGCTGTTGCAGCTACACGTAATACACGGCGTACACACACTGTAAGGGCGGTTGGCTAATGGGCGTGACCGCTGCCACAATTAATCTGCGTAATTTGCATGTGGATGCAACATCGACAGAAATCTATCTGCAACTGCTGCCTGCCACTTGGCGGCTCAGTTCAAAAAATCTGCATCTAATCGAAGGCTTCTCTCAACGTTCGATAGAATTTGCGCCGGCTAACGCCAATTGATGTTTGACGCAGCTCAATTTGCATCCTGCGGTTTTCCACGTACGCATTAATTAGTTTTTCCTAGCTGAACATGATTTTTAAGCCAAAAAGTGTTGTCTATATGCTGTGAGATCAAGTGTGCAGATCAGGAAAACTCTAAGAAAACAATTGAGAAATTATAAAAAAAATTAGAAAAGGAATTTATGAACACTAATTGAAATAGTTATAAATGTAAAGAAAGTTAGAGATCGTTGTATATATATTTTTTTATAATATGTATATATATTTATATTGCCAGAAAATGTAATAGAAACCAAAAAAAATTAATATAGCTAGATTTTAAGCAAATATCTTGAATTTAGTTGAATTAAATTACAAAAAAAACACTTAAGAAAATAAAAAATATATATGAAACGAGAAGAGAAATGAGAACTATAAGATATAAGAATGTGGTAATAGATAAATATTTAGCATTT